AGTTTGATTTTGCTTTGCAGCAATATTCATTTTTATAAAATTCATTAAGCTGCATTAAACAAAGAATTATGAATTTCAAATCAAACGAACGTAGCCAAGTCATTTGTGAATGCAAAGATATTTGGAATCAATTGATTATATATTGTATTGCATCTCTGTAAACGTTATAAAATATTCAGCTTTGGATTTATATTTTTGATACGAATTTAATTCCATCAGTTATTGATCATTTCTCAATTATTAAAATCTTTACAATAAAGAAAGAAGACTTAATGCATTAAATAATTTTTATTTTCAAAATCTTTACGACAAGAAATTTTGATGTGCTATTTTATTCCTTCGTTAGTTTTAACCTAATTTTTTTAACTTTAAATTATAATTATTCTATTTAAAAAATTTTATATCGACAAATAATTCTTCCAACTGATCCAAAATATTTATTACAACAATAAAATATTTAAAAGTTAAAACATTCCGTTTATTAAAAATTCTGTTTGAGATGTGGACAGTTTTTGTGCGTGGACCTATAAAAATCTTTAGTCCAGATTCATCCCCATTCATTTTATTGAAGCTGCGTGCAACCTTTTCGAGAGCAGGACCTTTTTCTTTTCTTTTTTCACGCCTGCAGGTAAAAACCAAAATCGTGTGGGATCCAGAGGCGGTCATGCAAGGTGCAAATGAGCCGGGGATGTGCGCCCTTGTTGGTTTTTGTTCTGTGCTGCGAGCAGTTTTTATTTATTTGGTTTTTCGACTGGGCCAACGTCGCGCGCTCATTCCCATAGTATTCCCGCAAACAAACCGTTTTTTATCTTTGGGCTGCGCGTTGTTTCTTTAGCCGCCGCGCTTTGCTTTTCTTCGCTCTCCAACGCCAGCCAGAGCAGAATGAGAGTGGAAAAAACACGCTTTTGATATGAAAAAGAGAGCAGCGCAGCAAGGAGAAGTCGCCCTGCGGCCCTCACTAAATATCATAACGCACCCTCTTGAAACTCCCCATTCGGCGCACGCGAGGAAATAAAATTTGAGCCAAAGAAACATTTTTTTGCTTCAGTGTTAATTTGTTTAGATATTGATTTTCGAGGAAAGAAAAATGTTTTTTCACCACTTCCCTCGGACTAAATTCCCTCACCCGAATGAAGGCAACTTAATTTCACCTCGTTATAAAAAGAGCAGTGAAAATGTAATAATTCAGAGAAGGAAGGGCTGTGGGGCAATTTCGTCAAAGCCGTGAATTAAAATTAAAGTTTTAATCAAGCCATCACTTTTGGTTGTGATGCAAGGCGCTTTTAATTAAATCCTCAATTATTAATGGTGATCACTGTTGGTTTTTACGGCCGAGCGCCGCGGCACGTATATAACAAATTGTTTCGCGCTGCTTATATTATTAAACAGCGGCGAGCGCGTGTTACACACGACCGTATTAGAGACGAGAAATACTGCTACTCAACTCGGGTGATAATTAAACACGCTTCTCTCGCTAATAATAATTTATTCTTGCCGGGGAAACTAGTGCTGCTGTGACCATATAAATATGATGTGTTGCAATTTCTCTGAACTCTGAATCACGTTGCGGGGAGTTAACGAACGTTAAGGAAAACCGCATCTGGGAATTTTTGGTAAATTTATATTATATCATCTTGTAATATTAATAAACAATTACATAACGGCAAGAAAAGATATAAAAAATAAAATGCTGCTCTTAATGTCTATAAACAGCTTTTGCCAATACAAATATTCATGATACAAGGGGAAAACCCTCTTAAATTTTATTAAAATTTTCAATCTGTAAATTCTCGCATCTCAAAAAGTTGAGAAACTTATGAATACGGAATAAGCTGCAAAAACTAAATTTTCCCATCGTTTATTTTGTTTACAACTTCTACACACAAATCATTCTTCTCCCAACCGTTGATATTATTATGTTGGCCGTGAAGGGAAAATGAAATTTCGGAATCATCAACAGCCGCAAGCTACATTGAAAATTACGCAACAAATGCATTTAGATATGACATTTATGACATATTAACATGCATGAGGCATGTTCTTTTGCACAATATTACAATATTTATACATTAGGTTTTTCATTATTTAAATATTTTCTATCATTCTACAATATTTAATAACGATATCAAAAATAATTGATTGATTCTTCCATAAAATTATTAAAACAAAAACTCAATTTTCTTGGGCAAAATTTTATTTATAATGTATTTTTTTAATTAAATAAATCTTTTTGAATATTTATTTTTTTCTCATCACATTTTAATACATGCTCATTAATTATGCAAAGTTCCTTCTTGACTTTGTGAAATTGAGCTTTGGTATACAGTATTAATGAGAGTTTCTTTTCTAATAAAAACAAGCAATTTGCCAAGTCAATCAAATACCGCCCAGCTGCAATTAATCTAAATCCCAAGCAGCGGCTGTCAGACGTCTCTCTGATTGTTCGGCTGGTGCGAATGTATTTATACTTGGGTGGTGAGCACAAGACGAAATAATTTGGAGCGGAGACTGATTGCGCTTAATTAATGGACGCTGGATTAGGGCGAACGGATGCCTGTGCTCTGTCGGGGCCACTTGAGGCGCACACGAGCCACTTTGGAGCAGGAAAAACGGAAATAATTCCGATCAAAAGCTTGGCTGGTGATTCGACTGAGCCGAAAGCGGTTACGAGGCTTAAAAGCTCGCTCGCCCGGTCTTAAATAGCCAAAGGGTTGACGAGGGCAAATATTTGTTTTATTACAGCCTCGGCCAGCAATCCAGCACTTAATTCTCTCGGTGAATCACAAAAACCATCACGATGCTAGTGCATGGTTTGATCTAACTCTCCCCCACATCCACCCCTCACAAAATGTTTGTGTGCATTTTATGAAATGTGTTGGGCTCAAGAGAGATGAACTCTATGATAAAATTTTTGGCGCACTTCAAACACTTTAAAGAGATTTGCAGAAAATATAAAAAAAAGGAAATTTCAGAAATGTGTTTACTTAAAATTGAGTGGTTACAAAATTCAATAATAATGATTATGTTCTCCTCTTTGTTGGTTTTTTTCTTTCGTCAAAGCAGCATCACAGAAAATCACTTTTCAATAGACTCCAGCAGGAAAAATGGTGATGGAAAAAACAATTTAGGTTTTGTACATATTCAATCACTTCTCTTAAAAAAAATTGTAAGATTATTTGAACTTTTATTAAACTGAAAATGCATTTTTGAAACATGCGTTTATATTTATTGCTTCAGGCAATTTCAGAACTTACAAATTGTTATTATAGTAAAAACAAAAACAAAATTTTTCAGGAAATAGAAATTTTTCAGTACTAATCCTAATTGTAAGATAAACAAATTATATGCTGACAAAAAATTAATTATTTACTTAAATTGAATTTGGTAATCCTTAACACCTCAAACAGTATACAGTGCATGGTTCTCAGCCATAAATTCTAATTAGACCTCTGAAGACCCGCATGTTATATCTGTGGACCGAAATTTCCCACCCATATTTCAGTGCAAATCGCTTTTCGATTCAACTCCCAGCTGGGCGCCGCGAGACAAAGGCCCGCAAAATAAATAGCCCTCTCCGCACACTGCTGGAGGAAACAAGGAAGCTGCTGGCGAAGAAGTGTGCTGTTTATCTTTTGCCTAATGTGTATTTTTGCAGAGCGCTCCAGAACGAGTGTTGCACAATAATACATATTCCAGTCGTGCTCATGGGGTTATAATTAAACTTCGCGCCGCCCGCTTTTCCAGCTCTGCAGCCTCCTTCTTCATGATGTATCCTCATTAAACACGACCAGGATAAGCTTTTTGAGCGCAGACACCTCTGCTGGCCTTACACGGCGTACTTACTGCCTTTTTTCAAACTCGCGCGTCCTCTCACCTTGTTAATGTTGTTGAAAGATAAATCAACACGCCGCCTGTGTCTTTCTTTCTCTACTTGCGAGTCAAACGAGTCGAATGAAAAAAAAGTTGCAAAACGCCAGCGGCACATTTTCCTGCCTGCTTTTCTTTGATTCGGCGAGTCGAAGAGCTCGACTGGGCCCATTAAAAGAGCGGTTTATGTACATATTTCCAGATTTGCAAACCGAGAAAGTGACGAGAGGAAGAGTGGCGCCTTTGCCTGCTCACTCGAGTCTATATATACGAGCTGCTGAAATTATATGTCTCTTTCTATCTTCTGCCGGCAAAATTCAGGCAGAGAAGAGTCGTGGAGAACGGCCACTTGTGTCAAATAAATTGCAGATTATTTCTTTTTGCAACTGTAAAAGGTTCCCTTTTACATTTATCAATTCCTGTTAAATTTTAAATGTACACGGTTTTTCACTGTGAAAATTTTGAATAAATAAGAAGCATTATAAAATCTCAAGAAATTGTTATAATAATTAAATAAGATTCATTTATCATAATAAAATATATTAAAAATATTCCAAATATGAAACAGAAGAATATGAGATTTTTTCAATAAAAAATATTTCCAAATTAATCATTCAGTTTTCTGATGATTTCACTCATTGTGCCATTTGTTCCCATAATTTCCGTAACATTAAGTACGATTATGATTACTATTTAATTTTTAAAATATTCAAGAATAAACTTGTTCTACACGTGAAAAATTAAGTTTGATCATAAATGGAAATAAGTTAAGTGGACTTTTTCAGTACCAATAATTGATATTGTTGTTTACTTAATAAACTCTCTAAATTGTTTAAAAAAAACACACACATTGTGAATTAGAAAAATAGGGGGATACATTGGATACAAAATGCGATGTAACAATTTAGAGAAATATAGAAATAATCAAAATAATTATGGACAAAAGACATACTACCAAAATGACTGCCAGTGAATATTCCAGACGATTTTCAGCTGGACTTTTTTGTCTTTTTTCAAGCCAAACATTAAATTAGAGTCTATATCTATTCTGTAATTTACAGATATATATTTAGTAATAAAAATTGTAAATTCTTTATTTTATGTCTTTTCCATATGGAAATAAAAAATCTTACCGTGTAATAATCATCCTCGTAATCGTCGTCAAAGGTGCTGAACATGATGGCCTGACGCGCCTTCCACAGTTCCTTGTGCGGTGATGGTTCCATCGTTGTGGTGGTGGCGGGGGCGGCCGTCGGAGGCGGCTTGGGGGCCACACGGGCCATCTTTTCCGCCTCGTACCGGCCGAGGACGCGGTCCAGGTGCGGAAATTTTAGTCTCAGAGGTGGAGGCTCGTCCTGCTGAATTTGCTGGGGGTGGTGGTGGCGGCGGTGGTGAGAGGCCTCCACGCCGCCTCCGCCGAGCAGAACGGCCCCCGAGAGCACCAACAGATAAAACACTGACAGCATGTTCTCTCGCGCGTACATTCACTTGGAGCCAACTAGCCGCGCATCGCTGTGCTCTAGTCGGTTCGGCCGCCGGCACGCAAGTGAGACCAAACATGCGGTGAAGACTGTGGAGAGGGAGGCGGCGTCGGCGCTGGAGGCGGCCCGTTGTCCACCGAAACCTCCTGAGGAGCAGCAGACGGACACGCGCAAAACACGGCGCGCTTAATGAATGAAAGGGAGAAGAAGGTGCGAGATGAGCTGCCAGACAGACGCAGCACTTTTTCCTGTTACACGCTCGTTACTTTCCTTCAGAGTGGCACAGGCTTTTCGTTTAATTTTTTATTCATAAGCACAACCTTTTGTAACCGAAATTGCGAAATTGCTACTCAAGTGCTGGTTATTTCACCTGGCTTCTTTTTCTAGATGAAAAACACCTAACATTTTTTCGCTCAAAATTGTTAAAAAGGAAAAATATTTTGGGAAAATTTTTTAGGTCGGCAACTATCACGCAGTAATGAATTTGACCGTAAAATAAAATTTAGATAGATTCGCCAGAATTTTGTTTGCACCACTCTTGGATCAAATCGGCAGACCACGGACAAAAATTTTGCAGGTCCATTTCAATCATTTAGAAGATTTTTCCCCACTAGCCCACACTAGCCCTCAATTAAAAATTAAAAAAAAAAAACATTTAATCAATTCCAATTCTACAGAGGCAAGCGCTAATTATTAATTATTTCACCCATGAGTATGCGTGCCATAGGATATTAATGTAAATTTTCAATGAGGCCTTTGTTTTTGTATTTTCATTTTGGCAAGCGTTTGTGTAGTGCATGTGTCGTCTTTTTGCAAGTCGAGTAAAATGAATATAATAATTATGTCACTGCTCAGCATATTTTTAGCAGGAAAGCGCAAATGAGTCACTCAAATGTCACATGTAAAAGTGTGTCATGACTAGTATTAGCTCCATATACATTTTTTTAGTGGATTAAATTTCTAAGTAAACAAAAATATTTACTTATATAACTTTAAAAATAAAAATCGGATTCCACATGGTAAAAAATAAACACAAATAATTTTCCTTCAATTCCATTTTACTGGAATCACCGCTAGAATTAGTATTTTTTGCATATAGAAATTTAATTTGACTCATTTTTTACGCGTCGTAAAAAATTTCATCATTATGCTTTTTATTTTTTGCTGAAAATTTTTAATAATCATTCTTTCGAGTGAAATTAATTGTTCAAAAATCCAGTAGTTTTAAAAAAAAAACTTTCTTGAATAAATCAAATGATCGCATGCTTTATAGTGATTATGCAATTTCATGACCCGCGTGTCAAGCAGGTTGCATTCTTTTCAAGTAAAGGTGCGTCTATAAGCCTTCTTTGACTGACTGTCTGAAGAGAATTAAAACAAAGAATGGCGAAAAATACGAATACGTTCCTCTTAATTTCCTCATAATAACTTCAGACATAAAAAAAAATCCTTGGCTTTTCAATTACTATTATTTCTGATTATTATAATATTCAATCCTATTTAATATTTTACACAAAAGCTGTGTGGGTGATTCAATCAAAGGGATGTGTACTTTATTTGACCGCACATCAACAAAGTCCATTAACAGGACCGCGACATGTGTCCCAAAACAAAGCCAACAAAATCCAGAGTGCAAATAATAATGAATGAGATTGCATTTCTGCCGATTGTTACGATTCAAGCAAGATAAATAATAGGCGTCGATTCGCACAGAGCCCCTATGGGACGTTGCGCGGGGTTTGGGGGGCGACCGCTTGAATAGAGGGACGCAATTAGTGGACAAAAGCATCGCCGACCTACCCCAAAATGTATTGGCAATAAAGCCACGCCACTGGCAGCTGGTTTAATTATTATTCTGCAAAATATGGGCCCATAATCGTTAATACTGCATGGAGCAAAAGCCGTTTGTCCGATCTAATACCTTTGCGTTAGGCCATCGAATTTACGTCGAATGGGACACCCAAGGGACTTGCTAGATGAAATAGACACACCTTCAAAGTTATCCTTTAGTGAACAGAGGATTTTTGTATTTTCAACAATTGCAATGTCCGCAGTTCCGAAATCAGACGAGTCTATTAAAGAACTAAAATTTGACAAGGTCTGGACGGACTGGTCTGGACGAGATTAAATTCAAATAAAACGTAAATTTTACACGCAACATTTGAAACTTTTTTGGGGCCGGGAAATAATCCAAAATAATTTATTTCCAATACAAAATTTCATATCTAGTTTAATTCTCCAATTATTTTAAAACAGTTTTACAGCAGCAATAACAATAACAATATTGCTGATGTTAACTTGCGCTTCATCAAATTAAGCCATAAAATTAATTATTTTTGTTTCTTATTAATTAGAAAGTATTAAAATGAATAATATTGTTAACCAAGTCAATTAAAAAAAACTTTTTATGTAAAAATAGAAATTGCGGTTTTCATCTTACAATATTAAAATTGTAGATATTTAAAATTAACTAATAGTAATTAGCTAATGGAAATATATACATTATTTAAATTTTGCAACCACAGAAAACATCAAATTCTAAACTCGTTCATTCATTTTTAGCTCTTTATCTTTAGCTGTTCAAATACATCTCTTCTCTTTTGTATTCCGAATTATTCTGAATGGATTAAACAATGTGAAATAAAATATCCTCTGCGTCACGAGTTTTTATACAAAATCCGAAAATAATCACCCTTGTAACAAATATAAGCCTCAATCCTCTAGACAAATTTTATAAAATGTTGAACTTCTTTTGTTTATGCCCAAATTATGAGTCATCTCAAGCGTATTGAAATGTGAGCACCGCCACGACTAGAAATTCTCAGGTGTTCACAAATTACTGGGCTTGTCGTCTCCCTCGATTAAATAAAAAGAGGAAAATTCTGATTGTTAAATTGAGTCACGCCTCAACTGGTTTATATCTTTTGAGAGCGCCCGGCTCGCCAAACTGTCTGCGCCGGCATAATATTTCAAGTAGAGGAGGCTCTCCCAAAAGACGTTTGCGTGCGTTGTGAAGAAACCTTCCTTTCGGCTGCATAATATGCAGACGAGAGAGATAAGGGAGATATTTTTCCTTGTTTGCCAACAAGTGTAATGAAAAGATGAGCATCTCAGCGGCAGCATCTCTTCAAAGCAAATAATGAGAAGAGAGCTCAAAAAAAGCTAGCCCATTTACAAGCCCTTTAACAAGCAGCGCGGTGTGCGCTTTTATTTTTGTCAGAGAATTTTCCTGGTTTGATAACAGAAGAGATAGGCCACCCATGAGTGAAGGTACATTTAAAATGTTTGCTTTTTTGCTTGTGATTTGGTAAAACCTAACCAGGGACGAGTGATTTTACATTTTAGTTTTTTATACATAATTAATTAATCTTAATAATTTTTTAATTGATAAATTATTTAGCTAGAATACACATATCAGCTTTGATTGTAAATATTTAAATGATATCAAACATCTAGAGATGTTTTCTGAAACTACACAATTAAGGAGAGCTTTATTTGAAAGAAAAATGAATAATAAAATTCAAATAAAAATTAATTATTTTATATCAAATGTGTATTCAATAAATATCAAGAAACGTGAAAGTTTCCCTCAATCACAACGTTGATAAACCTTTTGCAAATAATTGCATTAATTTTTAATTAACTATATAATGTAATTGTAATGTAATTTCTCTTTTGAATAAATATAAGCATTTTTGTAAAAACTGTTCTTGCTGTAAAAAATTAAATTAATGGTGAGTGTACTAATGTAATAAAAATGTTGGAATCTATAAAAAGATTCCTTTGCAAAATTAATCTAAAAAAAAATAAAATTCACATATAATAACATGATAAATTTTGGAACTGCGAGGCCACCTCTCGAACTTTTGGTTTAGCGCCGTTCGTAATGAGTGGTGACGTCAGATGCAGAGGCCGCCTCTCGTCATCGCATCTCTCAATTCTGTCCAGCTGGCGATGTAAACAACCAAGATGGCGTTGCTATAAGACGGCTCTCATTACCCACATTGGTCCGCGAAATCGACTGAGATTTTCGCAATTAATGCAATGCCCGCACACCCCTAGGTAAGCCTGATCAACCCCGGAGCCACTCACGGCGGCGCCGATGCCGCCATCGGCGCCCGGCCGGTTGCACCGGCCGCGTCCGTTCGGTGCCAAAGCAAGCCGTCATTTGACGATCCGAATCGCATTCCAATCGGCCATGCCAGGGGGGCAATTAAATGCCCGCTAGGGTCCCGTTACATTCCTTCCGAGATGCTGGACCTCGAAGCGGATTAGCCGCGATTTACTTTGCGTACCTGCGTTTTTGCGCACTTTTCACCTAATTAATCGAAGCGTGCGATTGGTCACGTGATTTGATCGCCACAGCGAAAATATGGAACATTTGTCCTTAGAGCTGTTCGACCTCGACTTTTTTGTCGATTCTGGTAAACCTTTTCCAATTCAGCTGGTTATTTAATTACGCAAAATTAAATTATTAATTGTAGTATTAATTTGAATGAGTTCAGAATCTTTTTAATCCAATATCACGCCATTTAAATTGTGTCAGGAGACTCCGATATTTTCAATCTGTTATTAATATATTCAAAAATTTGCAGAATACACCAAAATGGCTGAGGGCAACAAAAGCAACGGAGGCCAGGATGACATCTACTCCTTCAAGACTGACTCTCCCTCGGGCCCGGAAAGCTCAGACAGGGACAGTAAATCAGGCTGGTCGCGGCAAAAGTACAAGAGAAAAATGCGCAGACAGTCCAGTGACGACGAGGATGAAGTGCCATCTCTCAAGCCATGCATTGTTGTGCTACAAAGGAGTAGTGTAAGCACCAAACTAACCGATTAAACAACAGCTTGATTTTGGTGCCATTTGATCAAAAAGAATATATTTTTATTTGATTGCATCACGGTTTGATTTTGAAACAAAAGAATTTTTGAACTTTCTTGGTTTCTGTTTTTTGTCACTCAAAAACGAAAACGCTTGTTGTGTTCCAGCTGTGTGAAGCTGCTTGGCAAAGAGAACGGAAAAGTATAGAAGAGAGACAAAAGATTGAACCCCAGGTTGGTTGCTTAATCTGTAACAATCCAAAATTTCTTGTTTTCTGCTAACCAAAAATGTTTCTTGATTCGAAATTATATAACAGAATGAACTTTTTAAATTTTTGCAGCAACAAAATGGAAACTCAAGTGGAAGTGTGTCGCCGATCAGTGACTGCGAGTTTAAGTGTGGCCTCTGTAGTGAAAGGTTCTCCGGACGCAATCTGTACATGCACCACATGCGTGCCAAGCATGCCAACAATAACAACACTCCACGGCAGCCGTCTCCACCTCCCCCTGCTAAAGGTGACCACCTTCGTTTCATCCGAAGTAAGGGCGTCTGGAAGTTGGACACCCGTAGTCTCGAGTGTGACGACTGCAATAAAATGCTTGCCTCCCCGTACAAATTTAAAGAACATGCAGAGGTACCATATATTTAAATCACTATAAATCTATTTTTAAATATGCAGGCTGCAAATTAACTTTCTGGTTTATTAGAACTTTTACTGGAAATGGAATCCTTTTCTATTGCATTTATCTTGAAAAATAGAAAATATTTTATGTGATAGGGTAATAATTATGAATTTTATATATTGTCATAATTTTTTTTGTTCAAGTGAAATTACTAGTATACAAATAAAAATTTTAGAAGCCATTTTATATTATGTGGTGTGAAATAATCTATGTGGCCTGAGGTTATCTTTCCTTTTCACCTTTCCTCCTCCCCCACATTTAAATAATTGACTTATTGCTTTTATTATCTTGTTCAAGGTCGAGCACGGTAAAATAATTGTCTTGGGAGGCACCGATGACGTGATCAACAGTACGAACTTTCCCTGCTCTCAGTGCCATAAAGTTTGCAAAACAAAACTCTCGTTAGACAAACATATATTCGTGAAACACTCTGCACAACGTGGCCAACTGCCTAGTCAACCTATCTCGGCAAAAACAGAGGAGGACCTAAGCAAGGCTGGTGAAGCAAAAACCAAGGCTTATGAATGTCCTTACTGCTTTACTTTGCACGCCAACAAGGACCGCTTCAAGAAGCACCTTGGATTTGTTCCGATTACCTATTCAGATTGCCATGTGATTTGATATTATAAATTGTTTTCCAGAAATAAATTTTCCATTTTTAGGTTGTTACCGACAATAACTCTCTGATGAGGCAAAAGGATCCTATCAACTGTGAAGTTTGCGGATCAAAAGCGGCCAACCTGGCTTTTTTGCATGCCCATCAAACAACACACACGGAGCTGCCTCGACCCAACGAGTGCCAGGAAAGCGAATGTCACAAAAAGTTTATCTTCCTATGCCAGCTGAACAGGCACTTGCTGCTGCACCAGGTTAAGAACAATGTAGACTTGCCGCAGAGTCCGGGACAAAAGGTCAAGGGCAAATTCAAATGCAACCTTTGTGCAAAGAGGACGAGAACAAAAGCCAAGTCGGACTTCCACATGCAGACATGTCACAAACCTAATTCACAAGAGCTGAGGTACGATGATAATTCTATTTGCAAGATTGATCATTAAAAATGTATTACAGGTGTGAAGTGTGCAACATTTGCTATGCTAGCGCCCGGCAGTTAACAAACCACTATGCCAAGAAGCACGAAGGGATGGAACCTCCACTGCCTTTGCCAGATCAGCCGAAGGAAGACGATTGCTGGGCCCTACCAGACGCAACATTTGCTCCTTTCCCCACTTCATCTGTAAGGCCAGAATCAATAGGAAGTTCCGATTCTGTTAGTGCTTCGGATGCTTTCTCCATGTACTTCCAGTCACTACAAAGTCTCAATCCCATGGACATGGACATACCACTGGACCTGGAAGGTAAAAACTTAAATACATTTTGTAGTGGTAGTGGAATTTCACGGTCAATGGTTGATTCGAGGCAAATTTAATTGAAAGTTGGCTTTCGATGAGTTTTCCTGTAACAATAAACAACTAAAAAAAAACTTAACGGAAAAAGCCAACTAAATTCACTTCAACATTGTTTTGAATCATTCAATTTTTTTATTCATTTTTAATAACTTCGTATTGGCATGGAGTTTTATTTTTAACTTTTTTTTTTTGCTTTTAGGCAATGTGAGCATTAATGAGAAGATCCTAAATCCATTGGACTCCTCTGGTGGTGAGATGTCCCAAAGTCATCAACCTTCCCCGCACCAAGTATCACCTGAGTTCCCTGGAAGAAAGAAAGAAAACGAGCTCCAGTTCCACACTTTGCAGACTGTGCAGCACCCGGAGGCCAGTATCACATTCCTGCAGAATCTCCCAACAGCCCCTTTGATAGCAACGGAGCCTCTTCCAAAACTTGAAAGCAGTAATCAAACAAACCTCTTGGTGACGACCTTGAGCAATGGCTACCTTTCTAACTTTCAAGTGGAAGAAAAACCTGTGGCTCTAGTGCAACCAGAACAAAACATAATCACTTTTACTCCCACTATTCAAACTTTGCCAGTCGCGATAACCACTCCCATCCAAGCCCAAGTCTTGCCAATTTTTCAAACAACTGAGCTGAAGTACGACCCCAAACTAGATCTGGCCATTAAACAAGAACTGGAGAAAAATACCAAAGAGCTTCAGGAAATTTGCGAGTCAACTGCTATCGGATTTATTCCAATTGCTGAAACTGAACTTGTGACGGCTCCAGTGACAAACATCGTCCAGCCCCTGGCACCTGAAATTGTCAAAATTGAGCCAACCTCGGAAAACATTGACAAAATCGTGCAAGAAATCATGTGTCCTAGCAGTACAGCTAATGCAACTCCAGCTCTGCCATCAAAGCCTCCAGCACCGGCAGCTGTCAGCAGCCAATCTTGTGATTCCTCCACGGCCACTCCATCTGAAATTGTCAAGAAAAAGCTTGCCGCCAAAACCAAAAGGAAAAAAGAACTTGAAGCAGCTCCAGTAAAATCTGAACCAATTGATTCTCAGCCGCCTCCAGTCTCGACCGATAAACAGGAGGACTGTAAACTGTGCGGAAAATTTTTCAACACTCACGAAATGCTCATCAAACACTGTCAGCAAAACTGTCCTGGACGAAATCAGCCTGGATCAGACACCACTTGCCAGTTGTGCGGAGAAAAGTTGGCCGATCGGAAGTTGTACTTGAAGCACAAGAAAGAGATGCACGAGGACAGTCTTCTGAGGTGTCCGGCTTGTGACAAAACCTTCTTCCTGCAGCAGAGTTTGGGACGCCACATGAAGCAGACCTGCACGCATAGGCTGGACTACACCTGCCGGAAATGCAAGTCCAAACACGAGTCGCTCGAGTCCCTCCGAACGCACACCCAGACCGTCCACCCTGAAAACGTGGTATGCCACATTTGTAAAAAGGTTTTGGCCACCAGCCAGAGTCTGAAGAGACACATCAAGAGCCATGGGAAGGAGGCTGAATCGCAGATGGTGGAAAAGTTTTCCGAGCTGGACGACGACCCGGACAGCTCAGACAGCAACCTGCAAAAGGTTTCCCTCAACCAGCAAGAGAATCTGGACATTACAGACGACCTAAGTCTGAATGACCTGTCCTCCTGGGGCAATAATGGCGAGTTCAACATAGAAAATAATTTGGACGATGAGTTGATGCTTTTGAGCAACGAGTCATTGACCTGCGAGTTCTGTGGCTCGACCTTTGCCTCCGACAAACTTCTGCTCAGACACTTGTCCAGCCAACACTTCCCGAACACGCAGTGGCAGCCGCAAGCTCGGAACTCGCCCGTGGTTGAAGAATTGGCCTCGGCCATGGTTTCATGCAATGATTCGTGATCAACTCGCTCTCTTTCTGTGCATTTTGTGGGAACTTGAAACAGCATAAAAAAGCAACTCTATTTTTAGCTACAAGTTTTAGTGCAGAGACGTAGTGTTTATTTTTCTTTCAGAACGCCCCTGAACCGCTTCTTCAGCATCATGTTAGCTAATTTTGTGTGTGCTTAACTAAGTAAAAATCATCATTTGGAATATTAAATTCAAAGTCATGATTTGCAAGAAAATTGTCTTTCTGGGAAATTAAGAATTTTTTTTCATCAGTTCCTGTGAGTTGCAGAAATGTTTTCAATTTATATGATCAAATGTTACTAAACTGGGATTATTAATTAATACATTGTGAATTTGATTTTGTTTGGTTCAATGAAATCCTATGTAAAGGCGTTAAATGATTACATTTGTTTTAATTTGACTCTGTGAGAGTTTTGCTGATGATCACTTTAATCAAACCATTTTGAAGCACGACTGAATTTTCGATTGATCGATTTTACAAATATGAAAGCTATTAAGATAAAATTCTCGCTCATATTAAGTAATATTATTTAAAAATCGGATTTATCCTGTAATTTAATTTTGTTCCTCATTTTTGTCAACAGAAAGGGTCTGTAGTTAAATTTCTGTTATCTGTTTTAACACATATCAGTAATTTCCTGATTGTTATTAATTAATGCTCTATTATATTACATTGTTTGCGTTGTGTATAAAAATATGTTGCAAAAATGAATGAAGCATTTAATTTTTAATTGAGAGCATAAATTATTGTAAAAGCAAACAAATATGTCAAAAGCATTATAATTAAGTGAGTGATTTGCGTCAAGGCGATTGATAGTGTACATGAATTTTGTGCAGGCAATTATTGGAGATAAGGATTAAGAATAAAAATAATAAATTATAATAATTTCTTTTGAATTAAATCCATTTAGTTGCTCCCAAAACATTATTTTATTTGTAATTACGAAGAAATTTGTTTTATTTGAAATGATATATAATTTTTTTTTAAGTGTCATTGTGATAGTCTTTTTCGGTCTATTTGTAAAAGATTTTCTTACCTTACAAAAAAATTCAATTGTTTTTGTGATAGCATTACAATTAATGAATTCAATTTTAGATAAATTATAATTTTGAAAATCTTATTATGAAGTGGGTCGCGCGTATTTGCCCGCATCTGATTTCTGCCAATATGATCAGTTTTTGGCCATACTTCTGAAAGAAATATATCAGTAGTAAATTCACGTCTGATTATTTTTTATCTGCTTATATTTATCGCGAAAACACCAAAATTGATGTTGTAATTTCCACAGCTCAATCACAATCATTTATAAAATATTGGCAATGACAATATTACTAAAAATATATTCGATCTAAATAATAAATTTTTGATTGTATTGTAGAAATGTAGAGCAAGGCGTACCCTGCGGCTGTTTAGAAAAAATAGAGTACACAGGAAAGAGTGGCGAAAATTTGTAGATTGGCCACTTCGCGAGGCACATGGGTCACGCGAATTATAGCCTCTCTCTCATTGGCCAGAGAGCAAAAGCAATTCGATCATTGGCTGCGAATGACGTCAACAGCAAGAACAGGGGGCCATGTTGGAGCCATTCCTTGTTTTCATTTGTCTGGTTTGATTTTGTTTTTGGGAAAGTCTAACTCTTCTTTCTCTGCTCTCGCGAATTTCTCGGTGGACAATTGTCTCCAAGTTACTTGACCGCAAGAGATGTCCTAAGGGTCTTGCGCTGTCCAGGCAGCTGTAAGACGAATTGAAGCAACCTTGAAGACGAGAGGAATTTGCACATTTTGGGAACAAAAACACAACACCATGGTGGGCTGTTGCGTAGTCGGCTGCGGCCGCAATTCTTCCAAGCCCCTGAACGACACCCGCTACGACGTTTCACTGAAACGGAGGATAACGTATCACCAGTAAGCACAATACCCAAGCATTTTATCAAAATTATGATCATATTTTCTTCAATTATTTTGTTCAGTTGGTCTTGATCAGTTTTTGGCCAACTGTGACACAGGGCCCATGTGGCCAACAAGTGATCATCAGCATTCAGCAGCATATAATTATTATGAACCATTTATTTTGTTGGATTATTTTTTAACACTATACATAGAGAAATTTAATAACAAAAAATAAATATTGATCTTTTTAAATTAAACTCTTATATTTACTATTAATTGTTAATTATTGTTAACAGGTTTCCTGCTGATCTAGGGACTCGCAAAAAATGGATCAAAGCAGTTTGCGACGGAGGACGCGTAGATGACTGGACTCCAGGAGGCAACACTAAAATTTGCAGCGTGCATTTTGATTTGAAAGACATCAGATACAATGACAAGGGCACCCAGATCATCAAGGGCGCTATCCCAAATATTCCTCGATCGGACAAGAAGAAGGTGGATTTTCTGTCTGTTAAAAAAAAAATTGTATTTTAACTAGTGAATTATTTTGCAGCCCCCTCGCCGAAGCAAGATTGCTCGGGAAACGGCGCTGAAAAAGATTATCCTGGAAGCAGTAGATCAGGAGGTCGAAGAGGAAATTGTTTGCGGTGACTTTCTCGGAACCACGGTCTTCTTTGATCCAGACGCTCCAGGATCTTCATCTGAAAACATTTTTCTGCCATTTGAGGAGGCAATGGAAATCGAAGAATTTCAGGAGGACGGACAAGAGGCAATTTTTGTTTTTATGATTCTCTGTTCATTTATTGAATAATTATTTCCGACAGAATGCGAAAAGCAAAAAAGTCGTCAAGCTGGCTGACGAACATACATTTGACGCACAAGGATCTTCGTGCAGCGGAGACCCTACTCTTGCTCTCTTCGCAGAGCTCACAGAGAAAATGAAGAAGCTGAACATGTTTGTGGCTAAAAATGTGAGTAAACGTTTTTATGATAGAAAATTGTCTTATGTTTACTAATATTTCAGCATCCGAGCAAGGCTACAAAAATGCAGAAAGTCTTCAATGAATTCTCTACCCTTTTCAACAAGGACACGAAGGATGCTCCACTGCCGAACATGCTCTCGGGGGTATGTAACTTAAATGTTAAAATATCAGTTGTTGGCCATTTTGCATAGTCAATATTTGCGCAACTCTTTAATTATTATGGATCAACTTCATGGATCCTTTTCTCTTTGTCAAAAACTAATTACATTTTTTAATGGCATGTTCCTGTTCCCTCAGGATAATCCTTATTTGAGTGCCGCTGAAACTTCAACCGATGAAGCTTTGGCCAGCGAGTTTTGGGAAGATGAATTCAATGACCCAGGATTTGAGAAGATCTTGGAAAATCCAGAAGATTTTCTTACTTCCTTCCCAATGTGAAGTAATCTATTCCCTCTGCTGGACCTTAGTTAATATGACTAACATTCTTATTATTTTTTAATTATATAACTTTTGGCGTGGTTTTAAAAATCAATCCTTTTTACCACGGAATTAGTTTTAGTCTTGGGTTTGCTAGTGAATTGCATAGATAATTCACATTTGTAACTTTGAAACTAACTATATTGGAACTATACAAGTTGCTAGTTTAAGTTCTCCGTGAAGTATAAAAAATAAAACTAAGAAGTCAAAATTATTATTCTTTATATATTATAAGGTTGTATTACAAAAATGTATTGGGAAAATAAAAATTTTATAATCATTTCAAATAAACAAGCATTTTTAATCATTTTGCTAGCTGGCCCATAGCTTATGAATAATTTAAACAAAAATATGAATTGAAATGAGAATTGAATTAAATAAATAAAATTGAAGCCTACGAGTATTATCAAATGTGTAGCAATTCATGCATTAATTCGGGCGATGATATCATCCTAAAAAGTCTTATGTACTAATTTGCAGGCGGCGTGCGCAGAATCTGCAGTATCTGGCACCAGCAAAGTCTATGGCAAAATCTCCCCCACTTGGGCCCCCACTGCCTCTCTACGCAGTGCCAAATGCTAAATTTTTCCTCATTCAGCTTTATCTTGTACCAAAGAGCGAGCGATACGCTGCATCCCTTTTCCAGAGACCATAACTCTGCTTAGGTGGTGGAATTTAACTGCACTTTGTTGAATTATTGACGGGAAAATGCCTGGCTGCGTTGTTGCATGGTGCGGACAAAATTCGTCTGTTCGCATTATGGACCCGAGACTGGTGGACAGGAAAGTGACTTTTCACAAGTAAGACCTTGACCTTTGGCCATAATATTAATACAATATACAAATTTTAAGCAACTTCAAACATTTATTTACCAATGAATTGTTGTCGAATTTTTATTTTAGTCTTCCGAGTGATTCGGCAATGAAGAAGTTATGGGTTCAGGCGCTGCGTCACGGAGGTAGAGCTGATAATTGGGAGCCAAGCCCTAATGCAAAAATCTGCAGTCTGCACTTTGATCCCCAAGAGCTTCAATATAATGGGCGGCTGACCAATATCAAGAGAGGCGCTGTGCCAAAGATTGCATATTCGGCTATTAAAAAGGTAATTCAAGTGCGTTGAAGTACGTGGCAAATAATGAGTGTCCTTAAAGGCTTATCTCCAAATTGATATGACTTCTAAAAATTTAATTATCACAAACAAAAGCATATAATATTTAGTGTGGCAATTTTTGCAAATTTCTAAAATCTATATTTATTTCTTATTTAATAGAGGAACCGACGCAACAACAAGCACAGGCCTGATGTTCTCCAGAGCCTTGTTCAGAATATGGACATTGAAGAAACTTGCGTCCCAGATGTCCCTGCAACTGTTGACATGAAAAGCATCGTCCAAATTGAAGAAAGCAACACGTACGAATTCCCAGTGTACTTGGATGATCTGGCGCTGTCTGTTTTAGACGAACAGCCCTCACAGGTATTAAAAATTATATAATTTTGTAATAGCGAACTCATAAAATTTTTGTTATTTTAGGAGAAGAGCAAGAAAGTGGTGAAATTGCCTGAAAACCACACTTTTGTCGAAGATGCTCTGGCCAAGAAGCCCGCCGAAGTAACTTTGGAAAGTCTGCTTGCAAAGGTGATGTCTGCACTTCAAGAACTGAATGATGCTTCTGCCAAGGTAAGTCTTTTTTTTTGAAACAATCATTGCTAACATTATACCTAAAAAAATTCCAATTTTCAGAACTCTGAGGTAGCAAAAGGGGTAGAACAGCTTATAAGCCAAGCCTCAGATCTGCGCAAGGCTGTGTGCATAGCGGACATTTGCAATGATCTCGAGAAGCCTGCAACTGCCACGGTATTAAGATCGATAAAAATTAAAATTATAGGAAATCTTTTAACACATTAAATTTTTTGCAGGTTCCCAGGTATTTCAATGAGGAACCAACTGAAGATGTTCTGAAAGTGCCAGAAAACATTTATCAACAGGACCCCTTTGCAAATATTTTTTCTGCTGGAATGATGGCTTATAACTAAAATTGCCACGGTTCAATTTAATTTACTTCACTGCAAACTCTGCCATTTGCATATGTAATTTCATGTAACTGAATTATCTTATATCTCTGTTGAATTTTTCTAATGTCATTAATTTTTTATGAATGGGTATATATTTTGATATATTTTCAATAGTGTTCCATACCAATTTATTTAAAACATATTTGGAGAAAAATAAATTGAAAAAAAAGAATAATAATTTATATATCACTTATGACTTTTCCTAATGGTTCAGTCAACAAGCATCAGGCTAAAATAATGATCTCAATGAAAACCTTGCCATGAAATGGCACATTACAAAATGTAAACCATAGAGAGGTGAATTGAAATGAAGCTTGATTTATTTGAGTGACGACACTTATCCTCGCACTTGCAGGTCTATGCTCTAGTTTTGAAACTTAAAATTTGGAAAAATATTCTATAAATTTTGCATTTGCAATTTCTCAAAAGTGGAATTGGGAAAAAACTGCTCACATTAGATGTGAATGCTTTTAAAAATCTCCCAGACTTGTGTACGACTTAAAATTTTGTGACGTTTGTTACCGCTGCGTTTACTTGGTGACCTGGTGCATGGCGTGGGCAAGGTACTCGACATTCTGGGACGTGACCCCAGCAATAGAAATGCGTCCGTCCTTGGTCAGGTACACGCTGTACTTAGATGTGAGTTGCTCAACCTGGGAGGGATTCATGCCAGTGAAGCAGAACATGCCAATCTGCTCGGTTATGTGTTGCCAGTTGCGGCTTGAGCCTTCCTTAGCCAAGTTGTCCCTCAGCTTAGTGCGCATAGAGATGATGCGCTCGGCCATACCTTTGACGTCATTCAACCTTAAAATAAAAATTCAAAATAAATATTTTTATTCAAACTTTTAACAAACATGGCAAACGAAAAAAATACAAGACAACTTTTTAACTGTTTCCTTTCTTTTATCATAGGTAAGGTAAACCACTATCAACATCATCAGATTTTGCTTACAATTTTGTGGAAATGTCAAAATGTAACATGAAAATTTCAGAATTTGTATAATTTGTGGATTAAGTTCTAATTTTCTGATCATTTTAAAAATTTAAAATAAGTAGGCATAAAACTTACCAAATGGATTTCAAGTTGGCATCTCCAAGAATTTCAGTCACAATTCTGGCTCCGTGAATGGGAGGGTTTGAGTACATTGGCCTGATAATGATTTTGATTTGCGACAGAGTGCGTGCAGCATCATCTTTGCTATCGGTAACCAAAGAGAAAGCTCCAGCCCTCTCTCCGTACAGACCCATGTTCTTGGCAAAGGACTGGGCAAGCGCAATTTGATGTCCGTCCTTGAGGAAAAGGCGAACAGCAGCAGCATCTTTGGCAACGTCACCTAAACGAATATTGAATTTTAAACGAGGCTCAGGTTTTAGTAAAATTTGGTATTACCTGAGGCAAAACCTTGATAGGCCATGTCAAAGAAGGGGAAGAGCTGCTTCTCCTTGATCACCTTGGACATTTCTGCCCATTGTTCGATACGAGGGTCAACACCAGTGGGGTTGTGAGCACAGGCATGCAGCAAGATGATCGACTTGTCAGGGATTTTCTGAAATTTTTTAAACAAATTAGTATCAAAATAATGTAAAAAAAAAACAAGCCTTACAGCAATATCCTGGAGGGCGCCTTGAAAGTCAAACCCGCATGTTTTAGGGTCGTAATACCTGTATTGTTTGACCTGGAAAAATAAGATAAAAAAGATTAATTGTTATTTTGTTATTGTGATTACCAATATCAAAATTATTCAGACAACGGAAAAAAATTATTAAAAAAATTTTCATTAAAAAACTTACCTCAAGACCAGAATGCTTGAAGATGGGTGTATGGTTTCCCCAGGAGGGAGTTGGAAGGTAAATAACTTTGTTTCCGGGGAAAAACTTTTGCAAAAAGGCGCCTCCAATGCGCAGAGAGCCGGTTCCAGAAATTCCTTGAACACTTGCGTTCTAAAAAGACAAATTTTTAAAATGGGTAAAATTTGAATTTTTCCTTCTTCGTACAAATCCGTTGGCAACATGCTCGCTGTCGTCTCCGAGGGCCAAGGTAATGGAGTGCTTGCAGAATTCGGCAGTACCACCGATCGCACCATACTCGTGGTCCAATTTCCTTGCCCTCATCTGCTCCTCAGCCTAAAGCAAATATTTATAGGTAAAATTTTATTTTTCCCAAACAAAAGAGATATTTTGTCACCTTGATAACGCTGGGCAAGACAAACGGTTTGCCATTGTCATCACGGTAAGCACCGACGCCCAAGTTAATTTTCTTGGGATTTGTGTCTTTCTTGAAGGCCTCTGTGACACCAAGGATGGCGTCCGGAGGTCCCATCTCGACTTGCGACCACCATGATCTACAAAAAGTATTCAAAATTATTCCAACATTCAGAAATTGTTAAAATGAATTAAATTTCTAAAGAAAAGTTACGAGGAGACGCAATAACAAAATTAAAATTGAAAAAAAAATATTAAACTTATTTTTTTGATAGGAAATTAAAATGTAGCTCTAGGCAAATTTAAGATGTAGGTTTGTACTATATATGGAGTTGTGTTTAGTAGGTACATATAATAATTAGAAAAACATATTAGAGGTCAAGACGTGAATGAAATGACTTTGTTATTGAAAGGGCACATTACTTGTCATTACAGATAATCATTCAAATGATTATGAATGAGGGGAATGGATCAACGCGGTGATAATACAGAGGTCATAAAAAGGTGACCGGTGTGCTGTTGGACAAGTATTTAATATTTAATCCACGATTGATTGGACATTTTAACCCGGCGAAGAGCATAAATAATTGCGCAAAAACTCACGCAGCGCGCTGGATCGCAGCACCAGATGACCTGGACAGGCCGGACGCACCAATTCTTGCGGTCGGCAGCATTATTATTTCGTCACGGCGGTGTGCAGTTCAGCCAGTGAGAACGTGATGATCGGAGACGTCCTTCGCGAGCAGATTCGACGAGTCAGCCGAGTCAGGCAAGCGCACCACCGCTCACCACACCGCAGCGCCAGCAAAAAGCAAAATAAATGGTCACCACGAGCACCACCCAGAAATTTAAATAGAGTTTCATAAAGGAGTGAAAATTAAAAAGAGAACTTTCCCAGGATATTACAATTTTTAATTGGATTTCAATGAAGAAAAATGTTTAAATATATAATTTATTTTGTTTAGTTCAATTATATGACATCTTAAGATAATTTATGTGTAAAAAACCTTTCGCTGTACTTAACTCCTTATTTTTCTCTCCTGACAACATTCTTTTACCCTTCGAAGGGGGAGAGGGCAAGGAGAGGGGTTGGGATTCTCGTAACCTCATACATGGGTGTATGTTTGGTCAGCTGGAGGGTGTAATCAACGCCTTCTACGCTGCGGAATCCTGACATTGACGCTTTAAAAGTCTGTTTTTCGATCTCAAGCAGCATCAATTACCGCATCGAAACCACAACATTCCAATTCAGACGAGCAGGTGCAAAATTTTCTCTATAAAACGATTGTAATTTCACATTATTTGAGTTGCTATGCTTAATTTTTTTACAACAACATTGTGACAATTTTCGTGTTTTATGAATCTTGTTTTTTCAAAAGTTTAATATTTGAAGCACCTTTTTAAATGAAATTTACGAAATTTACTAAATACATATTCTTAATTTAATTTAGCATACGCACACATGTAAAACAAAATATAAAACGCAAGTATATATTTTAAAATCTTATTGGATCTGTGTCAAATTTTATTTTTTGCAAAACTGAATTGACACTCGGCTGTAAAAAAATTATATAATTTTCTTTTAATTTTTATCCAGATTGTAAATTTCATAAGTTTGTATGTATTTCAGGTTTTTAAGGCGAGAGAAAATTTGAAATGGGAAAATTCGGATGCAGATCAAGATTGCTGCGAAGGAAGTTGAGAGGAACAGTGTGAATAAAATGGTCCAGAGCTGGCCAAGAACTTTCTCAGCCCGACCATGGATTTTGGTTGGGATCGCAGGCATTTTGCTTGTGGGCCTCTACCTGTTCCACCTGCAGGCCCAGATAGACTCTCTGATTACCTCACAAACGCATTTAGGTTTAACAAAATGATGAAATTAAAAAAATTGCAGATTCATGACAAAATTAATATTTTTAGAACGAGATGTGTCTAAGCTGAACTCCCTAAGGCGCAAGCAGGACCCGTTTCAGCATCGCCAGGCTCAATTTAAGTCAAATGACGTGCCATTCGAGCGAGACCTGGTTGTGATCTACAACCGGGTGCCCAAGACGGGGTCGACCAGCTTTGTCGGGGTGGCCTACGACCTCTGCAAACCCAATGCATTCCATGTATTGCACCTCAACATTTCCGCCAACATGCACGTCCTCACGTTGCCCAGCCAGGCGCGCTTTGTGCAAAATGTAACCGACTGGCGCGAAATGCGTCCTGCCTTTTTCCATGGCCACCTCGCCTTTGTCGACTTCCAGAAGTGATTTGATTTTTATAAATTTTACTTCATTTGCTAACATTTTGATTTTAATTCAAGGTTTGGGTCGCACTTCCAACCTGTGTATATTAATCTTGTGCGGCAGCCTTTGGACCGACTGGTCTCGTACTATTATTTCCTCCGGCACGGGGATGATTTCCGACCTCATTTGGTGCGAAGAAAGCACGGAGACAATGTGGTGAGTGTATAATTGGATTGATTTTTAGAATATATTTTCAAAAATATTCTATTTAAACAACTGGTATATAATTTGTGAAATCTATTAAATATGTAGATACAAAAAATCAGGTTAAAAATTATGTAAAACAAATTCTAGTCCTTTGACGAGTGCGTCCAACAAAATTTGGAGGACTGTAATCCTGACAATATGTGGCTGCAAATTCCATTTTTCTGCGGCCACGCCCCAGCCTGCTGGGAAAAGGGCAATGAGTGGGCCCTGGAGGAGGCAAAGAAAAACCTTCTTGAACACTATATGGTTGTTGGAGTGACCGAGCAGATGGAGGACTTCATCTCGCTGTTGGAACTCACCTTGCCATCCATGTTCCGTGGTGCTGGTCAACACTTTGCATTGAGTAATTATCTTTTTTTTAATTATGAAAAGCTTGTATTTAAAAATTTAATTGCATTAGGCAACAGATCTCACCTGCGAAAAACAAGTCAAAAGACGAACCCGTTGCCAGAGACGGTCGCACGAATCCAGCAATCCAAGATCTGGAAAATGGAGAACGAATTCTACGAGTTTGCTCTGGTGCAATTCGGGCATGCCTTGCGTAAAGCTCAGACGCCAGGGGCCAGCGGTGCTCAACAGATTTTCTTTTATGAAAAGATAAGACCTAAGTGACGAAGGTCTCAATAGTGACAATATGTTGTTAAAAAAAAAAGACTCTTCTATGTTGTTAGGTAGGCAAGCATGAAACAATAATACTGCTCAAATTCTTAAACTGTTAACTGTTACTACTCGGATAGGCTAGTATTTTTATATAAACTCAATTATTATGCAATCCATCCACGATAGATCTTACATTGGGCTAATCACTCGGCACGTTAGTTGTTATTTTTGTAAACAAATAATTTGAATATGGGTAATAAATTATATGAATAAAGTCAAACACTTCTGTAGAAGAAAATAAGACTTTTCATCATCCAATATCTGGAACAAGATACTAATGAAGTTCTTAGAGATTGAAAAGTATATTTATTCATGGTTCAAAATCAATACAGTGGGGTTCTTCCTACCTTCATAACATGGCAATGAGATGAAAAATTCGCATCATAAGAACATATTATAGTAAAATACAACCGTAAATCAGTGTCAAAGGTCAAAGCTGAATTAAAAAAGCGTGTGGGCTTTGATATTAAGTGATCTTGCTAGAGATCAACTTCCCTTTTTTAACACTTCCTATCTTCATGCATTTATTATAATTAGAGCCCACTGTGAGATTAATTGAGTACAAATACAAAATTATATTAAAAGTGTGGCAATCAAAATCATTAATTATTAATTTTTGTTACACCAATTATAAATAGCTTGGGCAGAATGCCAATTTTTATTCAAAACAAATTTTTTGAAATTTCAGTTGCTTAGCTTGATTTACGCAGTTCACAAATTAAGAAAATATTTGCTCCATAGTAGCAATGACAATTAATTTAAAATAATGAAACTCCAGATTATCTAACTACTTGTGGTTACCATTGAGAAAAACCATCATGTCGACCATGTCAAGAGAAATGGACGCCCTCTGCCGCTCAAACTTCTCCCTGTAAGTGTGAGGGATGTGCTTGGCAGGCACCACACACGCTGGCACACACAGGTACCTTTGGGCCACCTTCAAAAGCTGGGCGTAGCGGGCGTCATTTTCGTGCCACCATCGCAGAGCATTAGTCTCAAAGGAAACGGCTTCTTCCGCATTGAACTGTTCCATCTCAAGACTGTGTCGAGTACGGGCAGCTTCTGTATTGCGTGGCTTGACTGTTGGTTTGGGGGTGCCACCCAAAAGCATGGCCATCCCCGACATCCGCTTTGGAGGAGAATTGGCCTCAACGCTAGTGCTTGTTGTCGGCATATCCTCTCCCATTTGACTTCTCACCTAATTTGCAGAGAAAACAAATTAGACAATACATTAACAAAATTCATATAAAAATCTTTTTCATCTCCTTAAATTAAGAATTTTTTAGTTCATTACCTTTTGAGAAACTGAACTCCTGACAATGTCATTCATGAAACTGATCGTCCGGAAGCGTAAGTCAAGGTAAGATGCAGTCTCGAGCAAGTGGTTGTCATCCTGTCTATTGTACGCAGCAGACAGTCCACTTTCAAGCAGGTTCTTGAATTTTCGGACAGACTCGCTGTCTTCAGACTTGATCTGCAGGTAATTGGCCACCAGCTGAGTGTACAGAGGCTTGATAATGGAGACCAAGGCCGGTTCATCTTCTTGAACGGTCTGGATGGTTACCTTGAATGGACTGCAAGTGTCGTTGATGCTCTGAAAAAAAAATGGAATGACTGAAATAATGTTTTGAGTTTATAGAGATTCTTACCTGAATCAATTCCCAGTCGTGGCTATTAAGACGCATATCATCTGTTAAAGTGAGAGCTTCAATGTCATCCTGTCTATTGAGGAATTCCTCCAGCAAGTCGTAAGTGGTGGTCCAAATTTTAGGGTAGTCCAGGTTGATGGAGCCAAGAGCGTCTTCTGTGGTGATATGCTTGCAAATGAGGGAGCGGCATTTAAGAAGTAGCATCTGCAGCTCGCTTGTGTTAAAGATGCTGCTTATAGCTTGCTGGATTGCAAAGAGGAAGCACGGAATAACCTGGAAGGAGATATAAATTTGATTGCTCGACTTATTTCCATAAACACTATCTGACGTTATGTATTAAAATTTTGTATTAGTTATTTTAAATATTGTCAAATGCGAGTTTTATGAAGCTTTCAATTACCTGGCTCCACTCGGATAGAATGTCAATGAGGGCTGGCTGAGCGGAGGCTGCAACAATGGCCACCGTTTTCTCCTGGCTCAGACCCCAAGTTGAAAGCATGACGTGCACTGTCTCTTGGGTGAGCTCATTCCACTTCAAGGTTGACAGGGTGCGTGAATGGAACTGGTCCTCTTCGGCCCAGTTGATGACGAAGGTGAAGAAAAGCTGGCTATCAACTCCCTGCCACTCCTCCACGCAGACACTGTACCAAGTGAGGCTCTCAATCTCCGACAGAATCTTGGTGCGGATTTCATGCACCCTTTCGGGTATCAACTGCTGCACCTGGCTTGAGGTTGGAATGTCAGCAGAGGGATTCACCTAAATCCCACAATTTAACAATTAACTTCTAAATTTTTTCAATAATATTTTAATTCAATACCTGCATTATCATTTCTCTGAATCCTTCGGAGTCCACGATACTAGGGTTCTGCATCTCTTTGTAAACAAAGTTCAGGATTCCCTGCAGTGGGTCCAGTTTCAACTTCTTTGTTCGAAACTCCTCTACCTTTGCTTTAGAACTTGATGCTGATGTCTCAACTGCCTCATTATTTTCTATGACCAAGTCATGCATGACACTGGAGATTTCCAATTTCCTCTTAATTGTCTGTCCAAATAAGCCACTGCTGCTTGCTACAGGCGTCTTCTTGTTAGACAAAGTTAGCTCTTCTAGTTCCAATTCCTTTAAACAAAATATTACATTTCCTGGAATTAAAATAAATCATTAGTCACCAACCTCAAGGGTGGCAGCATGCTTGTTTCTCAAGTGGGCGCGCAAGTTCGTTGTGTTGCCAGTATACGAAATTTCCTTGCAGCAAAGGCAACAGACAGCACGGTCTCTGGAAATGATCTCACCCTTCTCTGTACCTGGAAAGCCAAAGTACTTCCAGTATATGGAGCGCATTCCAGACGGCACCACAAGACGCCGATAGCTGATCGGGTCCCGGGCAGGCGTTTTCGGTCCGGTCTTCATCTTTTGCTTTATCGGAGATTCAGGGGTAGGAGTGATGACAAAATTAACTGCATCATCCTCATTCTCCACCTGCTGAATACTCCAGTTAACCTGGTAGGAAGTTAAATGTGTGAAATTTCGTCTATTTGTGCCAATTCATACAGTGTGCATCACTATCGACTTTTGTTAACACTTGTCACTTTGGTTCATGATAAATATTAGTTATTAAATTCAATGAAATTAAAACACCCGCTTAATGAGTAAACCACCTTTTAATGATCCATCAATCATTCATTTATAAATTGTACAAAGAATGCATCATACTGAAAATCGTCCTTGTAAGACCTCAAAGTAACTGAAACATCACATCACTGCTCTTCAAGGCAAATTAACTGACTGCTCAGTTGAGCTGCAGCATCTGCTCCATGGGTGTGACATACGCAGAAGCTGCAGACGCCTGCGAAGGTGCAGTTGAGACTGTCTGAGGCATGAAGACATGCGGCGCGACGCCCTGTCTGTCCTCAAGCTTGGCATACTCGAGTAGGAACTCTTTGCCAAATTTCCCCCACCGCTGTGGATCAAAGATGTAGTAGGTTGAACGCTCGTATGTCGCAGTCTTTTCCAACAACGGCGCTCCAGGCGCTCTAGTCAGCCAAACCTAAAAAACAATTAATCTTAAAAATTTTCCTCAAAGTTTATTTGTCTTTGTACCTTTTCTTCCATGTGGTACCTCCAGTCTCTGTTATACAACTCGACTGCTGCCGCTGCCTGAATCGCATCTCCTGGGCAGTTGTAGAAGAAATAGAAGAGCAAGTCATCTTTGTACATGGACAATTTAGGCGCCGGCAGTTTGTTTCTGATTGAAGAGTTGATGAGATACTCGCTGGGGACGTGATAGTCAATATCTTGCGGTCGACACGGCATTTCCGCAAAAGGGCCTCCAAAGTTTGGGTAAACAGACTCAACGGAATTCAAATTCATTCCTGAAAATAAATTTCAAATTTAAGTGAGATGTTTACAACGTTCAAATTAATAATTGATTTCTTAAACCGAGGTGGCCAAATTTAACAATATCTGCTCTTTATTTTAAGTTTTGATAATCAAAATGCATTCCTTGATAGAAAAAATGCATCAACCAACCTAACGTCTTCAGGTCTTGGCCAAGCGAAAGACTGACAAGATCTGACTGATTTTCTGCCACTCTGATGAAGGAAAGAAGGCCAGTAATGCCAAACTGGTCTTTGAGCATGCTGGCTGGAATGTTGCTCACTCGGCCGTCGGGATGCGTCTGAATTCCTCGCTCCTGAGCCGCCTGTCTCTCCGCACCAGGCGCTCGACTTGCCCTGCTCGCATCGACAGACCCTGATCCACCCAGGGATTGCGAGAGAGCATTCGTCGGGCCTCCCACTGAGGGTTTATCATCGGACGAGGCCCTTCGATTTCTCTGCGCTGTGCCCGGCAGGGCAGGAAAGTCTTCAGAAGATATATTGAACTCGGAGGCCTCCTATTTAAAGATTTCCAAATTACAAAATGAAATTAGCAGGAAAAATTAAATTGTACAAACCTGCTGCTTCATGATGTTGAACATGCCATACGGGTTCCTGATTGGGGTGGGGTTGGGGGTGACCATCGCGTCACCGCGATTTCCGAGGGTAGGGAACTCGCTCATGTCGAGCAACGAGGGCGTTTTGCCGGCGTCGGGGCCGTCAAAGTCAAAAGCCGCGCGGCCACCCAAACCGAAGGTGCCGATGCCTGGCATAAGCCGGGGGTATCGTTGTGCCCCGACCAGTGATCGGGGAAGATTGCCCGCAAAACCGGGTGACAGCTGCTGTAAACTAGAACCAATAGAGGAGTCTGGAGTCGCGGTGGGAGTGCGCCGGGTGGCGCCCTGAGGAGACTGGTGGCTCATGCTCCCGCCTGAAACATTGAGAGCACACCCTTTTCAACCAATTTGCTTACTGCCCATCAACGTTTTTTCTTCTTTTTATTTAATTCCCGAGCTACTTGATTTTCAATAAAAAAAATATTACACCGTAAGCAGTTTAGGATTCCATTTTTTGCGAAAACAAAAACAATCTTGGAATTAAGAGTGGGACAGACTCCTCTATTGCTACTTCTTCCGCCGCCAGCTGTTGTCAATTTATGCTTGCCACTTCCGATTATCCAAAAAATATCGATTCCTTATATCGCACAGCAATGTATTTTTAAGTCCAACGTGTTGCGCGGGCAATTTTGTGCACCAAGATAGGAAGATAAATGGTTTTTTTTTTAAATATATATATTATATCAATTTGAAAATTCTTCAATCATATCATTTTTGTTTGTCGGATAATATTCATTTCTAATATTTTGGCGCACCCAAATTTATAGAAGGTAAAATGGATAATAGTAAGTCTTCCATAAATTTGTTATTAATTTAATGAGGCGAATTCATGTTTAGCCTGTGTATGCAAAGGTAATCTAAGATGTAGCTTCTACAAATAACCTCATTTTGAGATGTCAAATTATCAAATTTAAATTGTTGTTGATTACTTTAGTATTAGTCGTTAATCTTGTGGTTTTGAATTATTTGTCATGTTAAAAAAAAATCATTGCTGGAAGTGGTAAAAAGTCCGACGAATTATTTTCCTGTATCCCCGATTACGTATAAGTTGCGTTAGTTGAATTACATTGAAGACCTATTTTTATTATTACCATTACATATTATATTGTATGTACATAAATACATACCTTGAAAAAATAATATAATATTAAGCATATTAAGTTTGCAATTAAAATGTTCCAAAGTGACAAGAGATTTAACGAAGCACAATAATGATGCAAAAATAATTATCTTTTTTGGAGGGAACAAAAATTGTGTCTGCCTGTGTGTCTGGTAAAGGGGACTATGAATGAATATAAACGTGTGCTTAATCTTGATACCTTTCGATCCACTGTAGACACAGTGGAGATTTCGTCTAGGGCGACCGTGGACGTTGAAGGTTGCGCTAGATAGACGTCGTACTGGACCTTGTTGGACGAAAGATCCTTGCGGCAGCTGTTGCAGAGGAGCTGGTCTGGCGAAAGACTCGGATAGTTTCTGAGGATTTTCTTGCTCGCTTTGCGGAGTCCCTTGACTCGGATGTGTTTAGTCCTGTTGAACGGATTACTGCACACGGGCACGGAGGTTGGGTTGGACATTGCAGAAAAACATGCTCTGCAGCCGATTTAATCAGCAAAGACGGCCGGAAATATCGAAATAAGGGCTAAATATCGATCGGCAAGTTGAGCTTTCGACGCCGATGGTGCTACGACGCGTCCGCCATTACCGAAAATTCGCCGCTTGCAGAAAAAGAAGCGCTGCGCAACGCAAGCGACAAGACGCCACGGCAGACGGACAAATTCATACGAGCGGCAAATTCAAAAAATAAGATTTTCCACAACCGGTTATTTTTTAACGGTTTTATGGTAATTAAAAATAAGATTACCTAATTATTTAATAAAACAAAAATTATTTTTAAGTTTTTCTGTATTTCTGGAACATCTTTTTCAAGATATTCAGAATTTTAAAGAAGATTTATATTAAAATTTTGCTCCAAGTTTTACCGAAATACCGGTAGTTGCGAATTCACAATAACCGGTTGTTTTGGGGCGAATTGTTTACAAAATTAGATGTTCTGGGGTGAACTTGGCTATTTTTTACTTTTTACCTCTTGAAAGTGGCTTAAACTAAAGCAAACTTGTTGAAAGTTCATCGGTAAGCAAAGATCTTTAATTTCATGTCCAAACCATTCCAAACTTTTGTCATTCCGGCCCGTCTTTGACCAAAGTCTGCTTGTCGTAGACTGCCGGGAGGTTGGTGAATTTGCCGAAAGAAAAAAAAATAGAATCTTTTTATCGTTAAGAATTGTTGCCTTCTTAATTTAAATTTTTATTACTTCTTCCAGGATGTCCATTGCGATGGCTACTCCACAGCAGCAGCCTAGCCCAGACAATGACCGTTTGTACCAGTGGATAATCGAGCTGTCCAACCCTGACATCAGAGAAAATGCCCTTCTTGAGCTGAGCAAGAAGAGGGAGTCTGTCCATGATTTGGCTCCGATGCTTTGGCACTCATTTGGAACCATAGCCTCTCTCCTCCAGGTATGATTGAACCAAAAATAATCTCTTATAAAATTACCGACATTTATTTTTACAGGAAATCGTCAACATTTACCCTGCGATCAACCCAGCCACCCTTACAGCCCACCAGTCAAACAGAGTGTGCAATGCCCTCGCCCTTCTGCAGTGTGTAGCAAGCCACCCTGAAACCAGGTATAATTTAATCTATTCAAAATTATATACACTAATCATTTTTAAAAGAAAAACATACACAAGAAGTGTCTTAATTTTTGTTTCTTACAAAAAAAAACGAAAAATTAAAATTAATATTTACTGAGGTACATCAATAATTAAACTTACAATTAACATCTGTTTCAGATCTGCATTCCTTCAGGCACATCTTCCACTGTTCCTCTACCCATTTCTGTACACTGTGAGCAAAACGAGGCCATTCGAGTACCTGCGCCTGACCTCCTTAGGAGTGATCGGCGCCCTGGTCAAGACTGACGAACAGGAGGTGATAACCTTCCTGCTCACCACAGAGATAATCCCTCTCTGCCTGAGAATCATGGAAAGTGGCTCCGAGCTCAGCAAGACTGTGGCCACCTTCATCCTGCAGAAGATTTTGCTCGACGACTCCGGCCTTAGTTACATATGTCAGACTTATGACAGATTCTCCCACGTGGCCATGATACTGGTTAGTATTTTTGACCTTTCAATAACTGATGCATTATTATTTTGATTAATTAAAAATGTGTTTTTTACTTGCTTCGAGTCTTTATTAATTCTGCGGATTTTTGTTTAATTAGGGTAAAATGGTTTTGTCCCTGGCCAAGGAGCCATCAGCCCGATTGCTGAAGCATGTTGTGCGTTGCTACCTGCGTCTCTCAGACAATGCCAGGGCCCGTGAAGCCCTGAGGCAGTGTCTTCCTGACCAACTGAAAGACAACACGTTCAGCGAGTGCCTGGCCGAGGACAAGAGCACCAAGCACTGGCTCGCCCAGTTGCTGAAAAATTTGGAGACGTCAACACCAGACCTGAACAACCTTGGTGTTACTCTCAGCGCCCCAGTCAACTTGTCCTGAACACCAAAATGGCGCTTGTCCAAGGATTTCGGTTCAAGGGAAGATTACAAAGAAGAAGTTGATATTTAATTGTTAGAGCGTTTCTGGCCAAACGTAAGTTTTTATTTTTTGTTGTTCAAAGAACAATCTGTAGATAATTGTGATTGATTTGAGCAATTCCTCAGAGACTTTAATTCTCTTATTCTCTTTGATTTGCATTTTAGTGTTAATTACTCAACATCATCTATTGTACAATTTAACTATTGCAAAGTGTTTTAGCGGCTTTTGCGTTACAAAGCATGTACATTTTCATGAGCAGACTTTTAATTAATGACTGTAATATAAGATGTTTTATAAATCCAATACTTTGTAAAAGGAATGAACAGCCGAGAAATGTGTATTGAATGGAGTTGAACGATGATTAATTATTTCCTAAAAACTGGTGATTTTGTCATGTACAGTGAAGGAGAAATAAATTTACTTAGTAAAAGCCTATTTTTATGGCCTTTAATTCAATTTAATTAATTTTAATTCTAGGAAAAATTATCTTTCTCTTGTTGAAAAAAATATCAGCGAAACAAAAAAAAAATGAATTTTCTTTTTTTTTTACTGGGTGCATTCATAATTCATATACAATAAAATATATATTTTTCAAACCCTCTCAATTCTAAATTTGATATTTTTACGGAATGAAATATCAATATTTTTCATTTTATTTATTGCCATACACGTATAATATAATAAATAATTTAAGGCATTTTACAAACTTTCAAATTGAAAATAAAAAATTGAATTGCATTTTTTTATGAGCAAATAACCAAATTGACATTCCTAACAGGCTGGCTTCGGGGACTTCTAAATTATAAATTTCAAGGTTCCTCTCGAGAATAGACAAAGTGGCTGTCAAATCGAACATTCGCCTATTGCCAAGTATGGTCTCGTACTTCTGGTGCTAAATAAAAATCTGACGGAGCTTTCGCTTTCACTGCATCGTGAGTCATCATCAGCAAATAACTGAATTATGGTACACGAAGCTGAAGCAACTGCGAACAAATGACATCTCAATGCCTCGGGCTCGTACTTGAAAAATACGGAGAACTTCGAGTAAGGCAGAACTGCATTTTTTCTCCGAGCAATCTGCATCCCAACGCAAATTTCCTCCCGCGATCGGTTAATTAGCACCGGACTAGACTTAAAAGGTAACCGGCTGCACGAACAATTAATTCACAATGCGCGACGGACCAGTTTGAATATTATACATTTATGGTGAGCGGCCGGCCGGCTGTGTGCCACTTTCGGCGACGCTTGTCCGATTGAGCGCGCAGCACAAAGTGGTGGTGCAAGAAATCGCCTGCTGCTCCTTATGCAGCAGCATGTGTGTGAATTTTATAATATGGTCTGCTTTTACTCGCATGATGAGAGCTAATAAGCGTTCTCCGCGATTTCGTGAGCCGTCGTGCCCGCGTCGTGGCCCGCCGGCCGAGCCAGCCAGCGAGCGAGAGGTCGCGGCGTATACGTAAATCGGGCTGCGGCGAACGTACCTTCTCTGCCCCGCTCGCTCTCAGTCGCTGTCTTTTTCAGCTCAAATCAACAACTCCTCTCCGGCTGGTCCTGTCCGTGAAAAGTGCGTAAACTTGTAATTAACATCTCGAGGCGCGAGTGCTAATATTCAAATCACGAGTGAAGACGTTTCTTGGTTTTAACAGGTTTTAAGTGATAAGTGATTGTCAATTTTGTGCGACAAAAAAAGGCAGATGTGGAAATTTTAGCATAAATTTAGCGTTTATAAATTTTTTTAAAAATAAGCAAGGAAAAATTTAATTTTCGATAGAAAATATTTTCAGCCTTTTTTTTATTTCAACACAAAAATGAGTTAAAAGTGTTTTAGATTCCAACAGTAAACATAATATGACACAAGATGTTTGGCAATAGTTCAAATATAGATCTACGCAAGCTTACAAAGAAGAAGATCAAAATAATGGGAATCCGGACATTCCAAGACACTTTATAGTTTTTCCTAAAGCTTAATTTGGCCTAAATCGCTTGATCATTGTGCTCTCAAAAATTTAATTGAAGACGGTTTGATTATCAGAAATTTATTTATTTTTAAAAATCAATGTTTTGCAAATTTCTTTCCTGTTCTGAAAAAAAATTATATAAAACAATTAATTATAATTGTTAATATTTTTTATGAATTTTGGGTTAAAGAAAGAACACATTTCCATAGTGAGTGAGCGCCAGCACTGATATGAATGAAGAAGCAGCCTTGCTGTTGGGGTTGGCCGCCCCCAGGACGCAACCCGGCCAACCCGCCACCACCACCATCAGCACCATCGCCCTGCGAAACGGCAACAACAACGTGGTCATTGCACTTTTGCAAGTAAGCCACCTTGAGAATCATTCATCTCCATCGCTCCGCCTTCTAATTACATAGGAGAATTCATTCAGCAAAAACTCGGCTCTTTCAAATCCGCGTATAGAACATAATGGAGCAGACGCCGAGTGTGCAATCAGCACTCTTTTTTTTGTAACGTAAACTCTCAGGCAGAACAAGATGAGAAGAAAATTGCTTTTTTGACGGCAGCCTTGGGGGAAAATTGCAATTATGATTTTTAAAGTGGTGCCTTTTGATGAAGGTGCATTATTTATTTTCATGATGATAAAAAAATTTAAGCTAGAGGCAAAAATATGATTTTTATTGCTCAACCTCTACTGTTTATATTTCAGCTTTTCTTTTTCAAAAAGAAAAACTATAAAAATTCCCAGATATAAATTTTATTTACGGCTGCTCGCGGTTTATTTCTCTTCCAAGAAAATTAGGTTGACTGACTGGCATTTTGATTTCTCAGAGTGCCGACTGGGTGCAGCTAAAAGTGTTGGACACTTCGCCGCCCTTGACACAACTGGGCGCGAACCTCGATCAGGCCAGCGACTTTCTGAACGTGCACGAACTCCTACTGAAAGATCTGCAGGTAATTAATCTCAAATATAAAATTTAATTTATCTCTGCCAAAATGTGTGTTTTGCGAGGGATTATTACGAAAACGTGAGATAAGGATGTTTGGGCTCCTCTGCGTAAACTGCAAGACAGAGACAGATTAATTTGATTCTTGATTACGCTAACGCCGATAAGTTTTGCTTTGTCAATATTAAGTTGCACTAAATTCTTCTTGTTACTCTTACGACTTTTCTTGAAAAACAATCATGGCTATATAGGCTTTAGAAAAGTTTCTTAGTGTATTATAAATTGCGCTAATAAAATTTCTGAGCGGAAATTGAATATTAAGAAATGTATTTATTTAGCAGTTTTTTAAGTAACTAATTTATAATTTAAAATTTAAAATATTCCAGCAACCTTTTTACATTCTTTTCAACGTAAAAAAATCATCTGCTCTTCACAAAGACTGATACATTTTTACAATATTTTTTCATCAGTGATGCAAAGAGAGAAAGATAATATTTTTTTTAGCTTACATTGAAAATTTACGATCTTTACTTATACTGACAGTTTCGCCGTATCGTCCCAATTAACTCCATGCAATTAATATCATGCTTATCTTAACAGACATTGCTTTATAATGTTATTAATTGCAAGTCCATTTCCGCCCCTCATATTTTATCTCTCTATATATTTTGGAGAAGGAAAAAGCAGGAAAAAGTAACTCGAATCCACTTTTATCTCTTTTCCTTTACTTTTTTTCCGCGGTTGTTTTGCACTTTATTTTGAAATTAATGACAAGTTAAAAGCTCCCTCTGCTGCCAGATGAGGGTTCGGATCGTTTCTTTTTTGAGCCTCGGATCAGTCGGAGCAGGAAGAATTATGATTTGGGAGGGCCTGCTGTGTGAATGGTTTTAACTCGTTCGAGGCGCGCGCGTGTTTGGGCTCGGGAAGATAGCAGAGTAAACAAATAGCAGAAGCTAGTCAAACATAAAAGCAGCACGACATAAAGGCGCGTTGGGATAATATCTGTCCGGTCGGCCGCTGGAGAATGAGAGAATGCGTGCATGCTAACTCACTATTTCGGCCGCCGCGGTCCCAAGTAGGCCGATGAGATCATGGATCGCGCGCTCTATTTTTGTCTCTGATGATGCTTCGTTATGCATGAGCTCATTAAACATGCACAGGAGAGCCGCCGCGAAAAAATAGAATGGGACTTTAAAAATTGCTTCTTTCCGCAAAAGTCGAGTGAGAATTTAATTTGTGCACACGACTGACTATTTCTTAATTGGCACAAGATTCGCGGAATTTTGGCACCTTTCCGAAAACCATATCAATGTAGCGTCCCGACGAGCGGCAAATTTTGGCTGAAAAATGACCTTTTGTTGTGCCGCCGCCGCCGGTTAAAGAAACTGACATAAAATTGCTTTTCTGCAGGCGACGCACAACTCCCCTGAGCAGTACTTGCGTCAGCAGGTGGACGCCAAATTGGCGAGCACAAATGGCAATCCCGACTTGTATTCTGCAATGGCCAATTCGTTGGCTCTCGCTTGGCGAGATCTCAGCCAACTCTTTGAGGATAGAAAAAATCTGCTCGTCCTCAATGTCAATTACCACAGGTGAGAGAGCGCAACACTAGTTGTGGCGCAAGTAAACAAATAAATGGTTTTATCATCGTGTTGATTGCCGATTTGGTACATTTACAAGGATCAACTCTTTTATTTTTTTCTTTCAAAATTCCTTATTTAATTTTTTAAATGAATCTTTTGTAATACATAAAAATTACAATATAATAAATAAATAAAAATTTCTCTGAGCATTTCAAAATAAATTACAGGAGTGCCGAAAAGTGTATCGAACGAATGCGAATAATGAGAGAAATCTTTGGACAGACCATTGTCCCAAGTGACGCCGACGTCGTATCTAAATTGATTTCGGACATGAATGAGCGCCGGAGGTCAATGCTCGAGGCGTTCATGGAAGCTCTTTTGAGTGGAAAAGTTTTGCTTGAAAAACTCCGGGAAATCGAACAAGAGGGATCAGACAATTGGAGCCCAGGAAATACTAAAGCGGAGGCAAGAGCAGGTAGTGCCAAGAAAAATATTTCTTTTTAGAAAAATAAACAAAATAAAAATTAATTTCCAGCGATTTCCCAAGTTGAACATTGGATGGAAGCCCTGCACGACAAGCGGAGGGATTTGGACAAGCTTTGGTTCAAATGGAAGGACATTCTGTTTAAGGCGAGCACAATTTCTTCACTTGCCGCCGAACTGGCCGAAGTTGAAGAAACTCTGCGCACTCGTCGCGACGGACTCGCCGGTTTTCAGCAGCTCGGCGAACACGCCGCCAGTGCAGAGCTTTTGCTTCGTGAGCACCACAAACTGGTTGCTGAATCGAGGGTAAAAATATTTGGGAAGGAAAATATTTTTAATTAAAAATTTATAAATTTAGGAGCTGCAAGGGAGGGTGATCAGAATCACCAAAACCAATGACGGTTTGAACAACAACAGGGACTTTGAAGGACAACTGGAAGTTTATTGGGCCAATCTCTCAGCGCACGCCTTCGTAGTTCTCAACTTGAGCTCTGAGTATTTGCACCTGCTCGAGTTCCGCATCGAAATCATTGCCTTCCTCATCGAGGCGCACACTGTTTGTTTGAAAAGTTAAAAATAGGCGAGCTTTTCATATTAGTTTTCTGATTTGACAGGCGCAAATCCGGATGGACCAGGTCGAAAGTGATCTTGCGTCCCTGGACATACCTTTGGGAAGCTCAAATCTGGCTCAGGTGCATTTGCACTTCTTCAAAACGCTGGAGGAAATCACAAAAGAGCCGATCGAGAAAGGGCAGCTTTTGTTGGCCGCTGAAGAGACGGAGAGAAACGGGGCTTCGGAGGCAAGTTGCGATGATTATTTGAGAAAAATATCTTAAAACGCATTCAAATAATGATTTTATGCAACCTGCCAAACATACACTTCGCGCGGGTGCTCTACCCCTGTTACATTCCCGCACCTGTTTCAAAATAAATCTTATTCGAAAGAAACTCTTTTATCGCGCAGGTCGTGAGGAGAGTTATTGAGGAGCTCCAGAGAAGAAAGAGGCTTATTGAAAGTCAGTGTGAGTCGCACCAAGAGACGACACTGCACATGGCTCAGGCACTCACCCATTTCTACGACAAGTACAATGAAGTAGGAAAAAATTTAAAAATCATTCAAAAAAGTTAAAATGTAATAATTATTTTTAAGTTGCGCACTTGGCTGGAAGACGAGGCTAAAATGTTTGTCCAGAGTCACCAGGACATTGGTTGCAAATTGGTCCAAACTCAATCTTTCTTGGATCAGCACAGAGGACTGCAGAACAATATGAAAGTAAGTAATTAAATTAAAAAAAAAAACATATATGAAATATTTTTTAATTCTACGTTTAATTTCCAAATTTCTAGCTCAAGGCAGTTGACTTAGCGACGCTAAACTCGATGCTGTCTGAGTTCATGGACCATTTGTCTCCTGATCAGCGTGATGACATTTGGCAGAAAATGACCCAGCTGAGGGAAGAATGGCAAAGGCTGGAGAGCAACTTGGACTGGCGTGTCGACTTAGGCGAGAAGATCTCACGTTTCTACTCGTTGTCCGTCAAACTTTCAAAGCAGGTTAGGAAAAAAATCGTTTTTTTTTGTGCTTTCCGTCTACATTTATTTTTGGCGCATGCCGTTCGTCGACTAGATCGAATCTGCAGAGGAGGCTCTAAAATCGGCTTCGCTGGAGCGGAGGGAAGGCAAACAGCCGATCGCGCAAGAGTTTTGGCTGGAGTGTCAGCAACTGCTGCTGCAGCTCGAGACGTACGGCAACAACTTCTTGGGCGACACCAAAGAAGTGAGTCTGAAAATTTTATTATACCAACACATGCGGTTATTTCAAGAGACGGTCCCCCTTTGAATTAAAGCGAGGGTGCCTCGCCCAAGGAAAAAAAATCTCAAGTGCGTGTAAAGTCTCTTAATTGCTTGTCGAAGGCATTCGCTAATTGCTAAAAAGTAGCCAAGTGGTGAAAGCTAATTTGTTAAGAACTTTAAAATATTATATTTTTTTTTTTTTTAATATTTTTCAGTTCCAAAAATAAATTTATCCGCCGATTGGCTGATTAATAATTTAAATCTAAATGCCACTGACTGTTAGGAATAAAGTGTATTAAAATGTTAATAATTTATCAATAAGAGAGTCGATTACAAATTTTATGAACTACTCAATATCAAAAAAGCAAATAGATTAGCAACCAATTTTTTTTTTATAAGAACCGTTAAAAACTATTTGTAAAGGACGTTTTAAATACTTTTATTAAAATATTAAATAAAAGTAAGTCGCTAATGTGAAGACATTTTAATAAAAATCAGTTCCTATTCTAAATAATTTAACTTTCAAATATTTTATTCTAAAATAGGTAAAAGAAATAAAATTTATAATATTAATGTTGTTTAATTCAATAAATTTAAAACGGAACTTTCTTTAAGTACACTAAAAATATGAGGGATTTAAAATTAATTTATATTCATGTTTTGTCTACTTGACAATTGCAATTTCTGCTCTCCAATTCAACTCGTCACGTTCGTGTAAGCTGAAACCGAAAGTGCCCTTCCCAATTCAACTCACCCCAGCAGACAAAACCGCTATAAGTCAAGTTTCGGATGTGCGTGGGCGTCACAGACTCACGCGTAAATATAGTATTTATGCGCGGGGTGCAATTCAAGAGGAGAAAATTCGGGCCGTCAAAGCGCGGAGAGCGCCGGGTTTATTTCTGTCCATGCTGGGCTGGCCGGGTGCCGAGCGCGAGCGTGAACTGGAAAGAAACATGGATTATAAGTGAGCATCGCCCGGCGTTTTTCAGGAAGCGGCGAAAAGCGCCAAGCTCCGGGAAGACCCACACTTGGACCTCAATTGCGCCAGGCAATACGTGGAGCGGACGCTCGAGCACCACCGCGCGCGTCAGCACGCCCTGGCGCAGTCGTGGGACGCGTGGCGCCAAAGGGAGGCCACCCTTCTGCAAAACTCGTTCCAACTACAAGAGATCACCATGGAAATCGCAAAGGTCTGTAACTTTTTTCTTCTGTTCAGAATCCCAATTAAAAATTGAAATATTCAAAAATTAAAGTATAAAATAATTTTTCATAGCATTATCATGAGATTATTATAGAATAGAATTTTAGAGGTGGAATCTGGAACGGCTATTAACTTATGCCGCTAATTAACATTTATAAAAAAAAAATATTTAAAAGTAAGAAACTGAAGCGTTATCGGTGCAATCATTTTGCCTACTTAACGCTTCCCAATGTAATTCAAATTACATTATTTTTTTTTTCATTTTATATTATGGGGAAAATTGAAGAAATAAAATTGAGCAAAACTTTTTGGCCGTTCAGAGGAACCCAATAGTAGCAGAAGTTTCACACCAATCTTGATTGAAATCAAAGAGTCTCATCCCAAACCATAGCTTGTCAATATAAAAGAAACTAAGATATAATTATTTATAAACAATAATTAAATTTTGTTATTTTTCTCTTCTCTCTATAACTTGCACTAAACTTCAATTTTTTAATGCTGCCAAATCATAGGGAACTGAATACTGAATAAATTTTCTTAAATAAAATATAATAAATAATTTTTTAGATATATATTTTTTATGAGAATGGATACAAGATACAAAATAACTAGTTTTGTTTTCAAAAGTAAAACACATACTTAAATGTGATCTGTGAGCAGTGCAAGCCAACATTGCAGTACAGAATTTTAATGTCAAGAGGTATTTGGCATCCACTACTTTGATAGGGAATTTTTGCTTGTTTCAAATCGGACAAGAGGAAGGAAGGGTTGCGAAATTTTAATTAGAACAAGCGTAGACGTGTTTTCTAGTCAAAAAAATCGGAGACATGTGTAATGCAACGTGTGTGCACTTAGATTAAGCGTACACAAGAGCTATTTAAAACCGGTGGGAGCATTGCCGAACGAATGACCCATTAATTAAATATAAGCTCTCGTGCAAGATCGCTGCCAAATATCAAAGGGAAGCCACAACTTCATCTCAGCTGCCAGTCTTAATGTAGTTTTACGAAAGTAGGATTGATCGGCATCAAGGCTCAGCTTAAAATTTATCGTTTCCTAGTTTGACAAGCTCCCCCTTTGAATAACGAAAAAATGTCCTCTAGAACGGTGCTCACTTGGGTAGGACAGGCTTACATGGTAAGCTCCAGAAACAAAATCTCCTTCCTCTTCTGTTGCCCCATTTTATTTTAATTTCAATATTTAGCAGATATATGATCGCATTAATTTTTTTATAAAAAAAATTCCAGACCTTAGACTGGGTGTCTCGTCTGGACGCTCAACTTTACCCAATTTTGGAGACCGACGAAACTAATCCGAGAATTTTGGTGCGTCTGCTGGAGGACCGACAGTCCAGGGTTCTTCCCGAGGCGCAAAGAGCTCAGTCCGAAGTTGAATTGCGACTAAATGCGATTGAGACGCTTCAAGTTCAAGGTTGGTTTAAATCTACTTATTTCCGATTTTATCCTAAAATTTTGTGGGAAATCTCCAGGCGAATCAATTAACCAGCGGGAGAAATTGATAAAGCAGTTGGTGGAGTTGAAGCAACGCTTTGCAATTTTAATTGCCGACTACCACCTGCTGCTGCAGATGATGATCGCTTTGTTCAAAAACGGCATTGAGGTAATGCAAATTAATCTTTATTATTTCACACGTGAATTAATTATTTTAAAAATCACTAGCTTGAAAAAACGACCGAAAATCTTTTGAGTCAGTACTCGGCCACAATTCTTCCATCCGACCCCATTAGCGTCGAGCGGATGATTAGCGAGCATGAAACTTCCAAAAACATTGTCGTGGAATTATTCCGTTTTAACACGGCTCAAATTGAGCAGATCGTCGACAAGATTAAGAAACAGGTGAGATTTTTTCAATTTCAAATTTGAATATATTTTTTTAATTTAAAAAAATTTTCAGGAACCCCGGGCAGCTGCAATTATTGACGAGCAGAAAATTTACTCAATTCTGGGCAAAAAGGAGGAGGTGTGGGAGCAAAGTTGGCTGCAACGGAAGGATAATATGGAGCAGCATCTGCAACGGTGTCAGTTTGACGCCGATTTGCACCAACTGAACTCACAGCTCGGCGAATTGGGGGCGCAAATGAGCAGAGTGCGCGGGCAGCTCGGCGAGTCGCTCGGCACCGCCAGGGCCAACGCAGAGGCTTTTGTCACTTTTGAGAAAACCATTGAGGTATTTTTGTTTATTATTATTTTTTTTTTCAATTTTAATTTTTTTAACAAACTGAAAACCAGTTGCTGGAGAGACGAGTCACGATTTTCATCAGTACAGCAGAAAAACTTGCCTCTGCCGAGAACATTTCTGCCCATCACGTTCAGCAAGAGCTGGAGCGGCTTCAAACTCGATGGGCCGGTTTGCGGTCACAGGTCACTGAGGTCAAGAGGCTTATTGATCTGAGTGTCCAGTACTTCATTTTATTGGAGCAGGTATATAATTATAAATATTTACTGGATTGAGTAATAATTTAATTTTTTAAGGCTGAGGAGTGGTTTAAGGAGGGAAGTCGGTTGTTGGTTTTGATCGCTCGGAGGTCCACATCTGTCAAAACGCCCGAGGAGGCGACAATATTGTTGAACGAAGTGGACAAGTTTTTGAAGACTGGAGAGACAAAGCAGGGCGAGAGGATCGAGCAAATTAAATTTATCGCGTCACAATTATATGGTGATTATAAATTGTTTATTTAAATTATATGACTTAAATTAACTTCTTTTTAGGTGAAGGAAAACCAAAACAAATAATAAACGTGTTCACTGATAGCAGAGAAATGATTGAATCGTTCACCATTGTGAACACAGAGCTGATTACTCTTTCTCAAAAGCTTCAAAACGACGAAAAAGAGCGTCAGCAAAAGGTAAGTTTAAACTTTAAAAATATATTTGAGACACTAAAAAAAATTATTTAGGAATCTGACATGTTGGCGGCAGCAAAAGCCGAAGCAGAAGCCGAGAGACAAAAAGCGTTGGCCGCCGAGCAGGCAAGGATACAGGCCGAAGAAGAGGCAGCCAGGGCTGCAATCAGAGTGGCCGAAGAGGCCCGACGGGCTGCTGAGGCCGAGGCCGCGAAACAGGCCCTTCTGGCCGCTGAAGAGGCCCGAAGGGTGAGTGAAGTGGACGCGGCCAGACAGGCCATCTTGGCAGCGGAAAACGCGCAAAGAAGGGCCGAGATGGAGTCTGCCCGTTTGGCCGCCGAAATGGAGGCGGTGGCTCGTAGAGCGGCCGAGGCCGACGCAGCCAGAGCGGCCGAAATCGCCGAGGAGGAGCGACGGAGGAAGAGGGACAGTGATGCGGCGAGAATTGCCCTGCTGGAGGCGCAGAGGGCCTACGAAGAAGAGGCCAAGAGATCGGCAGCCCAGGCGGCCCAAGAGGCCAGGAGGATGGCCGAAAAGGAAATGGAGATTCTGGTAGCCGAAGCGGCCGCCGAGGCTAGAAAAACTGCTGCGGCTGAGGCGGCCAGATCTACAGCCCTGGCAATGGAAGAGGCGCGGAAGGCGTCAGAGGCCGAGGCGGCCAGACTGGTGGCCGAACAGCAGAGGCTCTTTGCTGAGGCAGAAGCCCAAAGGTGAAATTAAAAAATAAATAAATCTTATTTTTTCCCAATTAGATCAATATAATGTTACAGTAATTCTAATTTTTTGAATTGAAATTTTTTTGTTATCCATTCTTTTCTCCAAAATTAAAAATAATATATTGCATAGAAAACTAAAGAATAATTTAAAATTTAGATTAAAATATATTATCTTTCTTCCAAAAATTTAAAAATACTTTAAATTCTTTATATTTTTGTCTGTCAAATTTTTTATGGTTCTGGCGCATTTGATTAAGCAATAAGAACAACACACTTGCAGGGTGACCAAAAATTTGGTGCTCATATCGGCTCAATTGGCAATTATTGAAAAAATAGGCATTGGACTTTTTCAGCGCTTTCGCTATGTTTTGGCAATTTGGAACCAGAGAATTGCACTAATCGCAGGATCGGAACAAAAACAACATTAACAAAGCCTCGGCAGGCAGAAAAGCGCGAGAGGGGCCACATGATTGTGCAAGCGACACGGCAAACCAAATAAATGAGCTCGGCGCGCGATTAATTAAATTAGATTCGCGGTTTTACCCTTCCTAGGGGACATGGCGATAGTTCCTGGTACGTTTAGGGTCGGCAGGTCGACGAAATCCTCCGTCGGCTTAATTTCGGTGAGATAGGAGCGAGAGGCGAATTTTTTGCTGCCCACATGACACTCTCATCCCTCCATCCTGCTGGCGGTGGCTGCTGCTGCTGCTTCTTGGTTCTCGAAGACCAGAGTGAACAAAGTCAGGACGGGAATGAGAAACGCGAGAGGCAGGCAGAAGAATAAAAATAACATCGCGCCTATTAAAAATATCATTATAACGCGTTAAAAAAATCTTTATATATTTAGCATAATCAAATTGATTATTAATGAAATAGCGTAGCTTTTATTTTTTGTTTTGAAACAAATTACTTTTTGGAGTGGAGTTGGAGTTATCAAGCATTTTGCAGCATTTTTAAAAATTAATATTGCATTACAAGTTTTTTTTCTAAATAAAAACTTACCTAGAAAAATGTAGCCAATTAAACCAACTTTCTTATTTGTTATAAACAAAAGGCAGTGCCGCCAGAGTTTTCTCTTTTTTTACATTTAGAGGGCTCAAATTTAAATTTTGATATTTTATGGATGGAATAAATTTTTGACAATTTTTTTAACATAGCCCTTTGATTAAATATTCAAATTTCTCCTATCATATAATAGTTAGGAAATATTCATTTTAAAATTACGCAAATTACGCAAAATGCGTTATAACTCGGCTCCAAAAAATGATTTGTTTCAAGATAAAAAATAAATCGTTACGACATTTCATCACCAATAAATTAAAGGCTGCATGCAAATATGAAGGATTTTTTAACGCGTTATAATGATATTTTAATCAGCGCAATCAAGAAGTCTTGGACGTTATTGAGCGCAATTTCATTTTTATTTTTCTGCCTGCCTCTCGCGACACGTGCGACTCCCATTCCTGTCCTGACTTGTTCGCTCTAGTCTTCTCAAGCACCAAGCAGAAGCAGCCACGCACAGCCAGCAGGATGGAATGGAGGGAGAGTGTGCAGAGTTTGCCCATGTGCTGTGCAAGTCTGCACTTGTGTAGCAACAGAACTGCAGCCAGTGGCGCCGGTTCAGCAGCAGCAGCAGCAATAAAACAAAAGACGCCTTTCATTTTTCATTTCATAGGCAGTCTTGGCCGTCTTTCGCCGAATTTGGAAGATTTTCGCCGTCTCATGGATTAAATGGATCTATCGCCACGCTATGGTAGGATAAAACCGCGAATCTAATTTTATTTTATTTATCGCGCGCCAGGCTCATTTATTTGCCTTGTCGCAAATAAAGGGCGCACATGTGGCCCCTCTCGCGCTTCTGCCTGCCGAGACTCAGGTTCTTAGTTCAAAGTTGCCAAAATTAAGTGGATCAACATGGCGAAAGAGCGGAGAAAGTCCAACTTTCAACCGGGGATTGAGCAGATTCAGCAGATACGAGCAGTCAAGCACCGAATTTTGCGGTCACCCGGCAAATTTCATTGCTCGGACTGCATTAACAAAAAAAAAAGAGTTAAAAGCATAATTCAGGGGCCCTTTAAATATAAATTGACATGAAACTTTTGCTAATTTACTAAACATATTTAATTATGTATATTAATTTTTTTAGATTGGCATTGCAAGCAGCTGAAGATGCCAGGAAGGCTGCTGAAGCCGAGGCTGCAAAACTCGCGGCCCAAGCGGCCGAAGAGGCCCGACGAGTGAGAGAGGCCGAGAATGCACGCCGAGCAGCTGAGGAGGCGCGAAAACAGGCCGAATTGGAGGCGGCGATAAAGGCGGCTGAAAAAGAAGAGGCGCTCCGGGCAGCCGCTGCTGTAATTTTTAAACAACAAATTTAATATGTGAATAAACTTGAATAAAATTTTTATCAGGCTGCGGCGCAGGAGGAGTTGCTGAGAGCAAAGCAGCAACGGAGAGAAGAAGCCACGCAGACTTTGCCGAGTGCTTTTCCGCCAAAGTTCATTGAGTCGCTCAATAGTGCGGTTGTGACTGAAGGAAAAAATTTCCTATTTCAATGCCGGTAAAATAATCAAACAAATAATTGCATGCTTGAAAAAATTAATCAAAAATTTTAAATTAAAAGAGTCACTGGTGAACCCGACCCGGACATTGAATGGCTGAAAAATGGAGAACCACTCGGAATCAACCCTCGCTTTTTGATTTCTCGCATGGCAGAGGGAATATGCAAGCTGGAAATTTCAAAAGCTCTTCAAGAAGACGGGGGAAGATTTACCTGCAAGGCGCGAAATGAGGCTGGAAAAGCTGAGGTTGAAGCAACTCTATCAGTTAAAGGTAGTCAAAGGAAAAATCAATAAGTAGTATCTTAAATCTTCAAAAAATTGCAGAGGCTGTTCCTCAAGTGACTCCACCTGTATTTACCAAGATTTTGCAAAGCGCCCGAGTCAAAGAGGGTGACACGCACCAATTTGAGTGCATTGTGGAAGGCTACCCTCTGCCGACGGTGCAGTGGTTCAAGAACGGCGCTTGCGTCGACTCTTCGCCTGATTACACAATCCGATTCAACAATGGACACGCAGTGCTCATTGTGGACGAGGTCGAACTTTCCGACAACGCCGCCTTCATCTGCCAGGCGTACAACCGGTTGGGAAATTGCCGCTGCGAGGCGAATCTCGTCGTTGAACGTAATTTTAAATTATTTGGAAAAAGCGCATAACTTACATTAATTTGAATTCAGGAAAAATTCCATCCAAAGCACCCATCTTTATCATGCCACTTTTGGCTTCAACTGCAATTGTGGGAGAAAAGTACGCTCTGCATTGTGAGATTGAAGGTTCTCCAGAACCAATCATTTCATGGACAAAGGACAGCCTGCCCATTGACCACACCAGAGAAACAAAAGTAATTAAGATTAAAAAAATTAATTATTATTAATATTAAAAGCTCCCTTCTTGAAATTTCAACGAGAAGCTCTTCAGGACTTTCAGATAAACTAATTGGTTATTTATTCCAAATTTTAGATCTTGAGGGATGGAGACAAGTATAAGTGCTCATTGAGCATCTCTCAAGTGGGCCCACAAGACTCTGGCGTTTACGTTATAAGTGCTCGGAATGCAGCTGGAGAGGCGGTTAGCTCTTGCAACATATCGGTTAAAGTAAAAATAGTTAATTTTCAGTCGACAAATATTTAAACTTTTTTATTTTATAGGAGATTTTAAAGCACGAGCCGGCACCTGCCCAGTTGGAAATTGAAAGAAATGTGTTGAAACCAGTGATCAAAATGAGTCTAAAAGATGTTGAGGCTGAAGAGGGTGGACAGTTCAAACTGGACACCATCATAACCGGAACACCCGAACCTGAGGTCAGTGGAAAAATTCTGTACTTGACGAATTTGTCTTATTATTTAAAAATTCAAACAGGTTATTTGGTACCACAATGAGGCGCCAGTGAAGGAGTCAAAGTTGACTCAGCTTGGGTTCAAAGGGGATAAATGTACCCTGTTGGTCAAGAATGTGTCTGAAAAGGACGCGGGCGAGTACAAAGTTGTGGCCATCAATCCTGGCGGCGAAGTTTCAAGCAGCTGCTCTGCTAAAATAATTAGTACCTTTTCAATAATCTAATTAAATAAAATTAATTAGTATTAAAATTTAGGCAAATATGAAGAATTCTTCCCTGAGCCACCAAAAATTGCCGGATTTCCACCCAGGTTTACTAATCTCCTGTCAGATATTTTGGTACCTGAAGGAGAACCGTCTAAACTTGAGTGTGAGGTCGAGGGCAAGCCCACGCCACAGATCCAATGGTTGTTCAATAACAACCCTATTACATCAGGCGATGGCATAAACGTAAGTAAATTCAAACTCCGCCTATCTTTTCTTTCTGGTTGTGGGATTAAATATATGTTCTTACTTGCTCTATCAGTCAAGCTAAAATATTATTTACCTGTAGATAAATTGAATGTTTGTTTAAATTTCAAATAATTTAGGGGTACTTTGTCTATCTAGCACTTGGTGTAAAATTGGTGTTAAATGTTGATAACGAAAATAAACTGGCAAAATCTTCAATCTAAATTTCTTGTAAAAATCTAAATCTTGAAAATAAATTTCTCTCCTACCACTAATTTATAGATGGTGCATGACGAGGAAAGCGGTAGCGTGAGTCTCACTATTAATGACACACAAGCAATACACCGAGGCGTCTACACCGCTAAAGCAATTAACTCTCTTGGCAATGCCAAATGCTTTGCCCACCTTATTGTGCGCAGTCACCAAGACTCGGACACCCCCGAATTCTTTCACAAAGCTTTGGTGCAGGCGGCCCCCACTTTCAAAGAGCAACTGCACGATACATGTTCCTTCTCTGGTGATTCCGCTAGATTTGATTGTATTGTAGCCGGCAAACCGACGCCGAAAGTGAGTTCGCCACCTTGGCGAACAAAGGCAAAATCATAGAGCATCCCTTAACTTTCAGGTCAAGTGGATGTTCAACGACACCCCCGTCTCCGGCAGAGACTTTCTTGTTTCAACAAGTGGGCAGAGGCAGGTGCTGACCATTCCCGAGGTCCGACCGGATCTCTGTGGAATGTACACCTGCGTGGCAGAAAATGATATGGGACGAGCAATGAGTTCGGCTCATTTGAAAGTAGAGGGTATGGGAATTAAAAATTTCAATGATTGGATAAAATATGAAAAATCTGTGAATAGAAATACCTGAAGAGTTCAGAGATTTGAGTGAACCAGCAGCAATGGCTGAATCGAATAATCAACAAACTTCCAGTTTCTCTGAAACTAGTCACATGACTGTCCAGGGAGTACGAAAGGAAATGGAAATGCGCAGCAGTATACAGGAGAATAGGAGCAGAATAGTGAGATTTTTTTTAATTAATTAATTGTACTTAAATATGGAGTTTTCAAATTTAATAAAAACTTCTTATTCAGATGCAGATGCAAAGAGTGGAGCAAGTCCACGTAGTTGGAAACGACCAACCAGTAATTCAACAACAGAGCAGCTTCTCAATAAGTCAAACTCCCCAGCAACAAATCGTGTCTATTCCAATTGTCAGGGAAAGGAAGCCGGTGGCGCCAAAGTTTATTTCACCTCTGAATGGAAAAATTGTTGACCAGGGTGAAGATGTTTTTCTTGAAGGAATTGTCGATGGTATTGAAAATAAACTCCAAGCCAGATTCTTTCTTAACATTTCGTAATCAGGTCATCCGGCGCCAAATGTAACTTGGCTCAAAAATGGCATGGAGCTTCCTTCAAATTGCAATGTGACTTTCAAGCACAACAAAGTGAGCCTCACGATCAAAGAGGTGTCTGTTAATGATGCTGGCAAGTATACTTGCAAAGCCGAGAACGAGGCTGGCTACGCCAGTAGCACTGCGGACATTGTGGTGAAAAGTACGTGCAACTGATTTGAATTTTAATATTTTGATTTTTTTTTTTAATTCAATTTAACTTTTGCGCAGAAACTGTTTTCCCGCCCGTATTTGGAAGGAGACTGCAAGCGCAAATGCTAACTTTGGGTGAAAGGGCTAGGCTGGAGGTTGAGGTCGCTGGCACCCCTGATCCGTCGGTGACATGGTTCAAAGATGGCGTGCCAGTTGATTCGATTCCAGGGGTCACTATCAAACAACAAGGCTCCTGTCATTTCATTGTTATTGAACCAGGCAAGTATTTATTTTCAATCTCTTATTAGGGCAGTGAATTAATAAATTCTTGACGTTAATTCAGTGAACACAACGCATACCGGCTTGTATTCTGTGGTGGCAGTCAACTCTGGTGGCCAAGCCAAAAGCAGTGCTGATATCTTGGTAGTTGAGGCCAAGCCAGAAATCACTCTTGAGGTCAAGAAAATGGTCTTTGAGGACATTGAGGAGGAGGTAATTTATGATTATTCTAAATTTAACTCAATTTTATGTATTTATGTGCAGCTGCAAATAATTTCTCTTTGAATGATATTTTATTGCTTTGTTTGCAGAAGAGGAATTCTTTTGTGGGGCCAGACAAAATCGATTTTGTGTTTCCAAAACCTGTTGACAATTCAAGCATTTCTACCGCAACAAAATCATTTTCCGAGCAGACCACTCGCCAATTTGAACAGCAGTCATCCAGTTACCAGAGCTTTGAAAGCCGATCAATGCAGGAGACCAGATCAGCTTCATTCACTGAGCAGCACAATGGAACAGAATTCAAGAGAATTTCCTCTCCTGCGCCTGGAACACGGCAGCCCAATCTTGAAGCGATCGCCATGGAAAAACTCTGGACGCACGGACGGTCACCTTCCAGAAATGAATTCACAGACAGACCAATGTCTCCTCGTCCGGGCTCGGCTATCGATTCGCTTAAAGCCAGAACTGAACCTATTGAGAGGTCTGCGTCGCCAAGACCAAGCAACGAGGCTTTGCAAATGGAAAAGTTGTGGGCGCATAAAATGGAAACAAAGTCTACTGTGATCAATAAATCGGTCGTGTCTGACTCTGTGCCTCTACAACCTGAGAATGAGGACTCTTCGAAACGGCCAAACTGGCCTCCTCAGAGCTCCTTCGACAACCAACAACCCTCTGTGCCCTGGAGAAAGGAAAATACTCCAAAAAAAGATAGCACGCCAAAACCAGAACCAACTCCTGCAGTTAAAGAAGAAATTAAGAAAACTGAGCCTTTGATGAAGCCTCCACCCCAACCCGTGTTCCAACCTATTAAACCAGAGGTGCAGCATTACATCGCTGAAACGACTGATTTGGTGCACAAGGCCAATTTCCAAAACGAAAATGTTACTGAAGAGGTGAAGGTCACCAAATCAGAAATCGCCTCCCAGTCGACCCAACTAACAACAACGGAACTTCACGAGACCAATCCAAATATTATCACGGAAAGAGGAATCAAGCCTTCAGAAGCGAGAAAGCTGTGGGCCCAACAGTCTCATCATTCGGAGCCACCACCGGTGCCTCGCGCTCCAAAATCTTCTCCTGCTCAAGCAAGAAAAGTTCAATCGCCAGCATCTTCAGACGGCAACAGGTCAATATCTCCTGTCTTCACAGTCAAACCTTTTGATCCTTTCTCCCAATTGGAGCCATTCCCATTCAAACCGGAACCTGAAGGCCCCCGAAAGGAAAGGGTTCCTCCACCACCTACACCTAGCAAATTTGAAAAGGGAACGTTCGTGGAACGTGGTGGGTCAAACGAAGACTTCAAAATACCCCCCAAGTGGAATCCGTATGACAGTGACTCCGACGGCCGGTCCTTTAGAAGCGTCCGTCCTCCTTCTGCTCCTCCAGCCCATCGTGCGAAATCCACCGGTGCTGAGCCGCTGCCCCCCTCCCAATTTGAGACACCCTCGGACCTCGTCCCTGCTCAAGCAAATTTTGGACTGACCTTGAGTGATTTTTCGTCGGCTTTGGCCAGCAATTCGGTGCAACAATCGTCTTCCTCGTCGAGCTTCGCCTCCAGAACGATGACGACCAGAATGGAGCAGCAAACCCGTTCTTCCTCTACCACGGCGGGTGAGTAATTTTTTTTCCCTTTTTTCCGCTTGAATTTAAGAAACGCCAACCCTATGAGCAAATTAATACCAAAAAGGTGAGTTAATGCTTCGGTATATTTTAAGTAGATAAAGAAGCGACCTGTGAGCAACCGAGAAAGCGGGAGATTTCTTTTGTTAAGGGCAAGGGGACACCTCAGAAATTGCGTCAAAACAGCCAGGCTCCAACTATCACCAAGCCAGCTGTCGTGCCAACCGAGGTGGGCACTTGTTGCGGAATATGTGATGCATTAGTTCAAAAGTTAAATTAATTTCACTAATTGTAGGGAAGCTTTTGACGTACAAGTTTTTAACAGATATATTTTTTACGTACAAAATTTTATACTATTTTATTTTCCTTCTTTAATTCTAACTGAAAAACTCTTCTTCCAAACTACGTAAATAAAAAAAATTCACTTCTCAGTGTTTAACACTTAAATGTGAATTGAAATAAACACAAAATAAAAACGAAATTGGCCTCGTCGAACGAAATGCGTAAACGGGCAGCTAAAAATTACTTTGCAAATTGCCGTAGCTCACATGCAACACAAAAAGGTAAAAATTTGTGTGCATCATTAACGTTTTTGATGGCAGAGAGTGTATTTTGTTTTTACTATGCGCTTTTTAAATATTATTTTTACTTTTTGCATGAAAAAAGAGAGTTTTGCATGGTTTTTGGCCGGAGTGGATTAATTTTGCACGCGGTTTTGCAAGTGAGAGTAAATAAATATGCTGGCATTTGACTTCAATCGCTCTCTCGTTTTTGCAGAATTCAAGAGTTCTGCGTGGGAGAGATACAAAAAGTAAATCTAAGGAGCAAATCAAAACCGTCAGCACTTCAGGCGAATTTAAACCTCACACAATAGCCGTTAAGCCAAAGGCCTCGAAGTGCAGAAACAACATTGGCGCAAAAAACGCAAATTACTATTTCGAGCCGATTAACAAAGTCGAAACTCGGCACGACAATAATAAAAAGAGAGACGTGATCATTTACTCGTGCACCGCGACGACAAAGCACGTGCACACGAACGAGCCGGACGGTTCCATGCAATTCGCCAAAGTCGAGCATTCGTATCAACAGCAGTTTCAGGCCGAGCAAAAACCCTTCGAAATCAGAGTGCCCAGGCCCAAGTACAAGGTCCCTCGACCTTCCAAGTTTGTCAAAGGGCAGCTCTCGGAGCGCGGCTACGAGAGCGACAGCGAAATCGTCAAGTTCAAACCCAAGTGGAAGCCGAGCAGCGCCGAAAAGGAAGATCCGCAGTACAGGAAGGTCGTGCCGCGCTTGTCCACGCCGAAACCCGCGATCCCGCGACCGGCCAGTTGCGTCACGCCGTCGTACTTTGACAATTACGAGCCGCCCTTGATGGAAATCGAAAAGAACAGGAGGGATTTCAGGAGGTACAGCGACGTGCAGCAACGCTCTGTTTTCGCCGGAGCAAGAGGTTAATAAAAAAGTTTAAAAAAATTTATAATTGTAAAATTTTTAATAAATCACAGAGGTGGCAAATCAGCAGATGGGTGAAATGAATGAAGATTTCAAACAAAAGGCGCATCAGTATATGAAGGAAATAAAGAAAGCAATCTATGCGCCGCAGCCTGAACAAGAACCAGATGCAGAGCCGAGTGTTTATCGGGAGGAAAAACGACAGTCACATTTTGGTAAAGGAAAAAGAAAATGATCGGTTATATATTTTTTTTTTTTAAATTTATTTAAATTAGAATATAAATTTTAGTTTATTGATATTTAATTTTTAATATTTTCAAAAATTAATTGTATGATTTTTTATTTTTCTTTCATGGAATAGGAATACTTTTGAATCACTTGAAATATTTTAAGTAAAATGTTTTAAATGTAACTTGAAAATAAAATTACTTTGTGTTTATTAGTCTATGCTTTATTTCATTTTTTATTTTACTTTTTGAATTTTTAGGTGCAAAGCAAATCGACCCTGACACAGGTTTGATTTACTTCAACTATGATTTTGGCTACGAATTTGGTCTGATTTTGCCCGGCGAAAAGAGAATTGGGATTGCCAAACAGGGTGGATCCGGCGGGACCAATAAGCAAAATTACCCCTTGCACTTGCCCGACGAGAAAGATGCAATTGAGTTCCCGATTATCCACGAGAGGACGAGCGATTTGCCGCCGCAAGAGAAATATCACACCTTGCCTCGCGGTTTCAAGTCGCGTCCCATGTCGTGCGTAGAACCAGCAAAAAGTCCAATTGGTATGTCATATTCAAGAAATTTTTATGATGAACGCTAACTGGAATTTGATTTCACAATTCAGACGCAAGCACAGCGACCGCAATTTACGCTCCGAGGGCAAGGTCAATTTCACCGACAAGGAAATCTTTGGGCTTTGGCGCTGCAAAGGAGCAAATCGAAAAGGTTTTCGAACCACCAGTTTTTATTACTGTAAGTTACAATTTTATTTTAATGAATTAAATTTATTGAATAAAAAATGAAAGAGTAAGATTTATTGCAGCTAATAAAAAATTCTACTTCAAAAACCTGTTCTTACTTACAATTAATAGTAAGAATTAAAGTTTTTTTAATTGAATCTAACTGGCGCTAAATATGTAATGAAAAAAAATTGAATTAATGAAAAATTTCTCTCAGTAAAGTTAAAAACAAATATGTTGCTTGCAGTTTCTTTTTCACTTGATTTTTATTTTTTAAACCTATGAAATTTTAGCCTTTGCGTGATATTGCTGCGAAAAATGGAAAAATGGCGCGCGTGGAGTGCATTGTGCAAGGAGAGCCAACGCCAGTCATCTCGTGGGCGAAGGACGGCAGAAATCTTGGACCGAACCCTAACATCCAATTTTTCTTCCGAAACGGAATCTGTCGCCTGCAGATATCAGAGGCGACGCCAGGTACATGGCCGAGAGCAAATTAATGGCACCACTTTCACACTCACGTATTGTTTGTCCTTTCAGAGAATGCAGGGAAATACACATGCACAGCCGTAAACAATTTGGGATCTGCTCGGAGCTCGGCCAAAGTCGAAGTTTTTTAAATCAAAATCGTGCCAAAGATATATTCTGAAATTTAGTCTCTCTAACCACAACATTGTTGATATTATACAAATGCATGTATAAAAGTATAACACACCTTTTTGACTCGGTTCAGTGTCGTTCTTTGTCGTTCAATTTATGGTACATTTAAATAATTTAAAATACTCTCTCAACTTTAAATGATCTGTTACGCGAAATTCTGAAATCTCTTGTGATTAACAATTTTATTTATTATATTATTGTTTTGTTATGTTGTTCTTGTATTTTTGGCAGCGAGAGACATACTCTGCGATGATGCGGCTCATTTCAATTTATTTCATATACTTGCGAAATGGCGCTTTAGAGGAACTAATTACTAATAGAGCAATTTCGTTCCGACGAGTCACACTTGATGCCGAATTCAACTCATTGAGCACTGCGTAACTTGGAATGAGTCAATCCGTTCTTTCGTCTCTTTCGCTCGCCAGCTCCATCATTGGTTGTATAAAAGTGGATGATGAATAAACTTCTGTGCAAAAAAGTTCCTTTCTCGTAGTTATTCAACCCTATGATGAATAGTTGGAACGGTCGTAAGTCAAATGCCAGCCAGTGTCAGAGAATTCGGCCAGAATGATTTATAAACGTGCAAAACACAATTAATGGAATATGTAGCGAGCCTAAAAAGTCACCGTGTTCTAAATAGAGCGACCCGCGTTGAATAAATGTGTGCAGGGAGCAAAATATTTCCAGTTGACTCACTGACGGCTTGTTGTAAAAATTTCTATTTTGGTGCCGCGCGTAATTCCGAGCCGCTTTATTTACGTGACTTTTTACACTCCGCAGAATTTTGAAATCTCAGCTAGCAAAACTATAACTTGGAGTTTAAGATTTAGTCAGCGGATTTTTATTCCAACGAAGAATCTAATTAAAATTGAGATGAAGAGGTGTTTTCCGTTATGCTCGTCGGCTTCTGGGTAAACACTTTTTTTTACAAGTGCCATGCAATATTAGCCCCGACATTGATGGATCTATTTTAATTTCTCACTTCACCGATCAAGAATAATTACTCGGGATGATTCAACTCTGACGACGAGGCTCGCGATGGATGGAATTTCGTTTACTCCCTTCGCGCCAAAATTAGCTCTGCAAGTCGTGCCAAAGGCATGCCTCCAGCCTCGCTCGCTGCTTCCATGGCAAATAAATCCTCGACGAGGTCAAAAAGTACAAACTTTAAAGTGCGGAGGGTCGAAAAATTACAGAACGGTGTACGTGAATGTTAAAAATTGCAGCAAACTGTAATTAAAATTAATACTCTAAAGGTAGCCAAAAATTTTCAATTATTTCAATAACGCGCTTTTTATTTATTATTATTTTAAAACCCTCAAATTATTTAAATTTTAGAAATCTTGATTTTGTTGAGTCACAAAAATAAGATAACATGAAAAGTTCAATAAATTCAACTTCTCGTCCATCACATCCCTCAGAAAGACCAATAAAGAGAGTGGAGAGATAAATATTTTAACAAGCCTGCCCTTTCACGCGGCCCATCATCCTTTCTCGCCTCTCTCGCAACCGCAGCTTTTTTTATGTCGAAAATGATGATGAATTCCAGCCAACGTCAATAAATTGGCCAGTTTAAATTGCAGTTTATTGCCATCAAGGGGGAATAACAATTAACTTTAAGCACATGAAGTTGAACAACAATTCTTTTTAACGTAAGAGCAGAGAGGCGAGCTGAGAAAAAACTCAGGGGAAGCGCGGCGGCGGCGGCCGCAGTAGAGTTATCGATAGTTATTGGCCTATAAATAGACTTTGATCGCATCTCAAGCAGCCCTGCGGCCGTTCAAATGCTATTACACACACCTATGGCTGTCCACGGAAATCCCCGAACCCGATAATCAAACTCTTTCTCTAAAATCCAACTCGAAACAACGAAAAAGGGGATTAATTTTTATTATATTTCTTATTTTTAACCCTCTAAAAATCTCTTTGAAGTAAGAAATCGGACCTGAGAGTGACTGACCCTTGCGGTATCACACCACAAGGTCGATTTCCCCTCTTGACTGAATCGAGCAAGAAGTGCGGCTTTGAACCCTCAACTTTCAAGTATAAAAGTGCCGAACGACGCGAGCCAAAGGCGATCAACTGAAGAGAGAGAGACCGTTCGCTTGCCCACTATTTGCGATTGGAACACTCGTAATTGCCTCACGAGAAATATTTGCGAGCCAAAGAGAAAAAAACCGTCACTAGCTAAGAAATAAATAAGAAAAACAACTCGAAAGAAAGAAGAAAGAATCTCTCACTTTTACTCAAAAAATTCAGTTCTTTTTTTAATAAAATAAATTTGAATTATTAAATCTAATGAGATATAATTTTCCAAACAAATGAATTTTTCATAAATAATATTTTTAAATTTCACGTGTAATTACATCGGAAACCTGAGCACACATTACATTTACAAAACAGAGAAGGCAATTTGTTTAACGTGAAATAAATGCATGTGCGAACCCCTTTTCATGTATGAATATTATACTTTCCTGGGTGCAACCTGATACAAAAAACAGCGGGCGGTCTTGTCCAGCGAGATGTAGAGGAAAGTGTTTTGAGACGAATTTTTTGCTCACTTGCGAAAGCGGGAGGAGAGGCGACAGGCAATTAGTTTGCAGCAGCACCTTTTTGAGAAATGTCACCTTCGCACATGAATAAGGAGTGATAGAAAAAAATCATCGAGAGATGACACGCGAGAGACACCTTGTTTATGGTAAGCCAACATCGACCCTGATCCGTTCGAAAGAAAACGAGTGACGATCGTGTTATGGTCGCGTGCGACGAGATTTTTATTTTTTCCCTATTATTTTCTTTCGAGGTCTTGAAAATGAAATCATTGGGGTTGGCGCGCGACTGAAACAATGTGAACTTTCTTTCTTTATGAGAGGCTCTGATACTGTAGCCGCGGAGTGTACCATCTTCTTCATCGCGTCCAACGAATGCAAAGCGAGGCAGGGACGGTCTTTCCTCCTCGTCAGATAGCTGAGAGCTAAAATAGGCCGCGAGTATTTTGGGAGCAGCCGCGATGATTCCTCCTCGCTTGCACCTCGTCGCTCCCTCTTTCTCTCGCTCGCCGTTTCCGTGGCGCACCGTCATTTAGCAGCCCTTTTTAATTAATTAATAACTGACGATCCGGTGCGATTGTTGCGACGCCACCAGACTGAATCGCTGATGTCACCACTTGGCCAGAAGCGGGTGCAAAAATTTCTTGGATTTTCTAGCTGGCTCTGGCCAAAATTTGCTTTTGAATTGGAAAATATAACAATTAATTTTGAGAAACACCTAATTTTATTACTCGAACGAAAATAAATTAAAGGAAACCGATAGTGTTGATGTTAATTGAATTTTTGGTGAGAATTGATGGAAAAATCTTCATTAGAGAAGGGTCTTTGGATTACAAGTGATTGACTTATTAAAACGAATTGTAATGCTTCAAAATTAATATTGAATTTAACTGACGTTTAAAGGAATCAATTTCAATATTATTTAAAATGGGAATAAACAAATATTTAATTAAAATTATGATTATACATATTTATAGCAAATCTCTTTGACACAAAAATTAAAAAAAAAATATTGTACACTTCAATAAAGTTATGATATGATTAACATTTGAAAAATTCATAAAATTCAAATTTATAAAAAAGTAAAATTGCTAAATATACTTACGACTAATTAAATATTTTATGATAAGTTGGTAATTCACAGCAACACTAGAAGCAAACTAATGATCAGTCATTATTATTTGTTGAGATGTCAGGACTTGTAAGGCAGTTGTTTGCTGGCACCTCAAGTGCAGAAGTGCAAATAAAGAGAGTCTAAGTGATTCTAGATGTGAAATAGATCGTGAGCAAAGCTGTTAATGAGCTGTAGATTTCTTGTTGCGTAACGAGCCTTAACAGAAATAATAGATCAACCAACTGGAGAAACAAAAATTATTTGTTCAATATTAAATACTACTGATTTTACACAATTAAAAATTCTGAACAAAGCAAATCTTAAAAAACGTTTAAAAATAAGAAGGAAAAAAAATGCATATCAACTTTTTTATGCAAGCATGAATAAAAAAGTGAGAAATGGATTGCAATTTATAAAAAATATAGAAAATAAATAAAAATTCTCATATTTTATTGTAGATTCTAAGAAAGTTAATTTGACGTAAATTTAGTGATATTTGATATTTGTTTCTTATATTCAAATTTAAAATTGTTACATAACATAGGAATCAAATTATGTCTCTTGGGCTTGTTTACATTTAAAAAAAGAAAAAAGGTTATTTGTGTATCACTTTAAAAATCTAACATTTATTTAAACAATTTTAAATAGATTATTTGAAAAAAAAATTATCTTGATTTTATCAATTAAAAGAAGTCTCATTGGTCAGTGTGCTAAAAAAAGCTTTCCGACTCCATGAGCAGCCTATTTTCACCAAGACTGTTTCATCCAAGGGACCAAAGCAAAGAAAGTCCGAGTGCATTTTTGCGCGCAAACCGCAAACAGACGGTGGGCGAGCAGCTTTTGCAAACGGGAATCTGCGTGTGCAGCGCGGCGGCTCAAATCAGCCGGTGCACCTCTGCCCACCCACCCACCCACCACCCACCCACCCACCACCCACCGCAGGACCAAAAGCCAAAACATTGCCCCTCCTCGTGGAGCGGCGGACGCCTCCGTCGGGCAGCGGCTGCAAAAGCGGCACTCTTCGTCCGCCTCTCAGAACAACTGTCTGCTCGCGCGCTCGGCATGGCCAGGGGATAGCAAAGAAAATTGAACCCCTGCACCGAATCGTCTGAACGGGGCGTGCGAAACCGATCCGTGCCCCGCTCACCGAACGAAGAAAAGAGACGTTCTGTGTGAAATTGTTCAGCAAGAATAATAATTGCCGCGCCAGTGATACAATTATTTTATTTATATTTTCGAAACTGAAGAGTTAGAAGAAGAATTAGCAGAAGATGGACCGTCAAGTCCAGCAACAGAAACAACAGTCGAGCACCTCGAGCAGCAGGACCGTCCAGCAGGTGTCCAGCACCCAGCAACAGTTCAGCAGGGTGGAACAACATGTCACCCGCCAGGTCGTCACTCAGCAGCAGCAGAGAACAGGTCGGAAACCAAATTTGAAATTTAAAAAAAAGTAACAATATTAATTTTTCCGTAAATAATTTAATTGTTAATGATTTATTTACAAAATTTAAAAAAAAAAATGTTTTATTTTGAATTATTAAACTTAAATTTGTTTTGTTGTAAGTTGGATAATTATGTAATGATAACTAAAAATTATAATTAATTTTTTTTATTTTTGTTGATGATTCTGCTTAACTTTTAATAAGAAACTTTAAAATAATTTATTTAATTTAACGATTAAAAAATGGTAATATTGAGTTTAAATTAAATTAAATTTGACATTATTTTTTGAGGATTTCAAATTTAAACTAGTACAAATTTTAAATTTTCTCTCCAGTTGTTCCAATTCAAAGTTTTTGCACTTGTATACTTTCTGCAATAAATGTTGCGCAAACTGTTGACCGTAAATTTTTTTCTCAGAACAATCATTAATATTGACTGTGCATATTTAAATGACCGGTCAGGAATAAAAAGCAATTTTAAGTACCTTCGCATTGCCTGTAGGCAAAAGAAATCCCTTTGAAAAGAATTGCAACAAAAAGCAAGACCTCGGCTGGCTGCAGGTGACTGGGTCGGGAACCGAAAAGTTTAATTTGAGGAGCGCCGTGGGCCAGCTGCCCTTTGCAAACGCGACCGCCTCCCCATTCCCTCTCGGCCCGACAACGTAACTCGGAACTTTCCGCCCTCGTCGGTAACTTTTCCGCGAAAATCGGCCGAAATCGAACATGTGCCCGAAACGGCAAAAAGTGTCTGTGCCCGATTCATTTGTTGTACGTACATGCGAGAGAACACACAGACGCACCGCTGCAAACAGGTTATGTAAGAGAAAGTCGAGAGGAGCACGCGGCGCCGCGAGTCCGACTCGGTTATTCGCCCAACTTAGCCTTGCCTTAAACAGCAGTCTTAGTCATATTTTGGTCCAGTTAATTTCTTTCACGACTCTGCTGGCCATTAGCCGAATTTTTTATGCAAACACAACGAGGGGTGAGAGGAGAGAGGCGCGACAAAAAATTAACGACGGAAATAAAAAGGAGAGCGAGACCATTTTAAAAACAACATTAAAAAAATGCATAGTAATGGAATTTGGCTTGGAATAATTTTTTTGTTTTATTTAAACAGGAAATGTTTCAACATTTTGAAAAAATTTGCGATTTTCTATATAAATCAACTTTGTTTTGAACCATCTGTTGATAATTTTCAATATTAAAGTAGCATGTGCATATTATTATGCAATGCGCAGCCTTGGGCCGCCAGAACTTTTTAATCGGGTCCAGCCTGTCCGACAGCATCTCTCCGATTCTTTATTTCTTTCTCTTGAGATTTTGGACCAGCGACGCATTTTAATCAGTACGTGTACATACATTGTGACTCGACCTCATTTGGCCAATTTAGCAAGTCCGTGTGTTTGATTTGGAGAAAACAAAGTGTGTTGCCCATCTGCTTTCTTTCTCTTGGCCGATCGCATTCACAGGTCTGCTGCTTAAATTAAAATGCAAATCCCCAGGGAGCGTGAAGATGTTAATGGAATAACTCGCAAAAAATTTATATCAATCTCTCCAGAACGAAAATCTCAACATTATCTTAAATAACACTCAAATGCAATTATACTGATTTTCGTTATCTTGCATTATCTCATATTTGCTTTGCAAAATAAATTTTGCAATTTATGTTGCAATTCACGTCAAAAACACATTTCGGTTGAGGCAGTCCTGAAATTACTTGTTGCCCTTGAAAAGTAAAAACCAAACTAGGAAATAATGAGAAGTCATGCAGACTTCGTTGATAAAAAAGATAAAACACGGAAAGTTGTCGCAAGAAACGAGCGTTTCGCTGTTAACCTTGAGCAAAAACTGCAATTTATATTTTCGAGCATTCACCCTGAATTTTAAAACAAATTTTAATTTTTAAAGTAAAACTATGACATAATTATTATTTGCTCCCTGTAAAGAGCGGAAGTTTATCTGGTGATATTTTTAGCCAAAGTTTTTTTTCTTTTTGTCTGGGTCGTAAACCGCGCTGGAGTCGAGAATCGTTTTGCCTCGTCTATTTATACAACTCCTTGTTTGACGCATCGGTAATAATTATTATTGATTTACGCAAAATCAGGCCAAACCGCTTTGATAGAATTTGTCCCTGCGTCGTTCTCACACTGAATCATTGGAAAACCGGTCGGCTAAATAGAGGAAAGTAATTAATATTGATGAGCGCGCGGTATGATATCGCCGCTTTCGGCAGCCAGCGATGAAAAAGGCAAGTAATTAGCAGTTGCTCGTAATTAGAAACTCACACGTCCACCTGCTGACGAGTTTTAAATTGGAACAAATAAATAAATAAAGCGATTGTGTTGCATTGGAAATATGTGTGTGTATCGTGAATGCAAGGTTGGATGCTTTTAGCCGCTAAGCCAGTGAGCGAGCGAGCGAGACCTTAAAAACTAAAACCGCCGAGCTGATGAAATTTTCTTTTTGGCAACGTGCTCTGAATTCATTATTTTCGGTCCGCCGACAACAATTCTTTTATAAATACATCTTGCGATCGAGAGGAGCAAAACACAATTTCGCCGAAATGGCTCGTGCGCGCACGGCTAGTTTTTCACCGTCGCCCCAAATAACGAAGAAAATGATTTTTATCGCGCGATTTGCCTTTTAGATTAGATTACTTGGAGAGCTGATGGAGCCATCATATTGGAATTCAGGCAAAAGAAATGCTAGAAATGTTTCAAGAAAAATTATGATATACCGTAATTGGAGCAAGCTGCTTTTAATCTGGAACAAAAAACAAACAAAATTAGTTCAATCTCTTTTTTAATTTTATGAAGTGCTAAGAAAATATTATTATTAGGCTAAAATTATTAATTTATAATATAGTTTTAAATTATTTCTATATCAAATTTTGTAATATAATTTCTTATACAAAGCTAATTTTAGAACTGTTTACATGATTGAAAGGGAAAATAGTTCAATTAATTATTATTTTTTTTTTACAATTTTTTTGAATAAGGTGAAAATCATCTGTGAATATTTTTGGGGATCCTTTAAAATACTTGAAACTTGAAAATTTTAATCATATTTTTGGTTTGGAGCCAAGAATATGGAATCTAGAACTTCAATTATTTCTGCGCCCTCCTGCATAAACATTAAGAATTAATCCATAATATTTTTACATTTCATATTTCGCTTTCATTAAGGTGAAGAGAATTAATAATTTACGAAAATCAAAATTTATCACTTAAAATTTCAAATTGTATCGAGAAAATTTAATTCTTGACCTAAAAAAATTGCTATGGAATATTTTTTTGACAAGTTATTTCCTCTTTAATTTCATTGGCTAAATTGATCAGCCAAATTTTAATAATTATTTTGTTTAATTGAGTAACGAAGGAAATTAAAAGAATGCGTTTTGTTTGAATCATTAACAAAAATAATTTCAAATTCAATGTAAATCTAAATAAATCTATTTAATTTCATCTTCAGATTGAAAAAAATATTCTAAAAAGTGAGCTACAAAACCTTTACGATTCTTAAATTCTTTCAGATTTGACCCAAAAGTAGAGAATTCCAAAAATACGAGAGGAATCTGGAATTCAAGAATATCTCTAGAGAAAACTCGGGCTCCGTTTGCTACTTTTCATTCCTGCCGAGCCCGACTAAAAACTCAACTTCTTCTAATTCCATTTATTTCTGGCACACGTTCATTCTATTTTGAATCGGCTCTTGTTGTAAATCTTTCCGTACTGCTCCGGCACTCCACTGATGCTGGATTTGTAATATATGAAGTTTATTTTCTCGCCAACGAGCAATTTATCGTCTCCGCCGCGCTCAAATTAATTGCAGAATCGCAGAGATTGCGGCAGTGGAGTATTTTTTTTTTTTTTTTGCGCCGGCGAATTGCGAAAGAAGAGGACGCGCGTTGCAAAATTAAGTGAGCAGAATTGGAATGAATCCGAAAAGTTGCTCTGTGTCGGCCGCCTCGGTTAGTCACGGGGTAAATTTAGGCAAAGGTAAACAGCATGGAGCGCGTCGTCGTCGTCACTCTGCATCGCGCCCACCCACTTCATAATTCGCCGGGGTTAGTCAGTCGCAGCTGAGGGTGCCAGCGGCGTGACAAATTCGGCCGGAATAGAATCGCTGGCATCTTTCGGCCCACTGTACTCTCATTTTTGTTCGCAATCGCGACAACCGCCTTCCTAGAAAGCGACTGATTTGTGAGATTGCACGAAGAGCGAAACAGATGAAAGAAGAAGTTTTTCAAGCAATTGCTTTGCTCCTCTGCCTACGCGAATGTCCAAATTTAAAGCTATAAATTGTCTGTACTATTTACGCGTTTGCAAACAATGTTCTTTTACGAACCGAGTGATTTGTTTAAACATAAGCAAGGTTAGGTTATTTCAATCTTTTAAGATGGTTTAAACCAACAATACCATGTAACTTTCAAAATCTCCTTTTTGCCGCAACCTCAAGTTTTTATTATTTTCTTCTCTTGAATTTTATTCCATCAAGTTTATTTTGAGGATCAAAGGCAATACAAATGGTCATGCACATTTTTTTCGATCTGACATATATATATGATGAAAAATAGAAGTTTAAAATAAGCAGCGGTCCGACTGGTCCTAGTTAAAAATTTCAGAGAGATCATTAATTTTAAAATGCTACACACACATATACTTTTTACGTCCCAGTTCGAGGCTGTCCGGCTATTACAACCCCCACCTTTGCCCATTTACGACGGTTAGAATGGCTAGGACTTTTCAAATATATGCAGTCAGTCAAGATCGCAATGAAACATACAAGAGATTTTAAACTTAAAAACTCATTACGTCAAAGTTCCGTTAAGTTACATTTTTTAAGGTTGAAAAAAAATGTTGTTTTATTAAGTAGATCGTATCCTGCGGCTGGAGATTCATTTTTATGCCACGAAAGCTTAACAAATTAATAAATCTTAAAATCGCTCATAAAGCGTTAGCAGCAAAAAAGGCAAAAATTAAAGTATATTAAACCGCTCATATTGCACGTAATTGACCGCTCCGTCGAGCGCAAAACTAATTAATGCTTTTTTTTAGAGTATTTCCTGATAGGAATTAATTACAACAAATTATTTTGAAAGTCTTCTTATGATCATTTCTTTTGTGCATTTGTAATGCGTTGGATTTTTAATTTAATTAAAAAAGTCGAAAAAATTAATTAATTAAATTTTCCAAATCTTGGTTAGTTTAAAATTGGTCCAAGAAAAAGATATTTTGAAATTCGCGACAAACAAAGCTAAGCGTTCAAATCACACAACACTTTTGTTGTTTAGATTTATATTTTATAGGTTGTTAGGGGCAGGCGCTGAGAGAAAGAAAGAGTCGTCTTATTGTGGAAGCCGTTCCGCCTGTTGCTAATGTTCGCTTGACCAAATTACGCGGATTACCTGTGCCGCTTTTTCGCGTGCCCACGAGCCATTAGCAGCTCAGTCTACGACTCGAGCTGCGTGGGAAGGAAGGAGGAAAGGTCACATAAGTTAACGCTTGTAGGCCTTGTATGCAATGCGTTTAAATGAAGGCCTGACTCATAAAATGCAAAAATTAAGATGCAATTTAACTATATAAAGAGAGTCCAGATCTTTCTACAATTAGAAGTTATTCAATTTTTTTTATGACGAATATAGACTTGAAATAATACAGCAACAGCGTATTTGTTGTTATTATATAATATTTTAAAATGTCATTAATTCATTAAAATGAAATTTAATCAGAAAACTAAATAGGTCTTTATTTTTCATCATATTTTGGAACTTTCCTTTTTTATTCACTTTTTAATTAAGTTTATGTATATAAAATTAGCCGTAAAGTAAATTTATTTAATTATACGCTTGTAAAATACAGACGGATATAAAGTGAATAATTTCGGTCCGTGTTTCTTTTGCTATGTAGTGAGTGTCCGACTATGTCAATGTCCAGCTTTGATGAATCGCCGGACATTTATTTTGCCTAATATTAGAGCGATTTACCCTCTGGGCATGCGCTTTGAGGCTCGGACAGACACAAAGACTCAAAGGCCACCGCCTGCACCGCCGTCTAGAAAAACTATTCTTGGACTTATTTGTGTGATCACATTTCGTGCCACCAATTTAGGCGCACCGCCTGCCACTCAGAGCATGCATTTCCTGCATTTCAATTGCAAAAAAAATCTGAACAAGAAGAAAAAAATTATTTCCTTTTCTAACTAAAATAAATTTGATGATACTTCAGTTACATTTTGGAAATAAAAATAAAAGCTAAAAGCAAATATAAAAAATTTAAGGCTGAAATTTTGAATTAAAATAGGGGGAAAGAAAAATGAGCCTATTTGAATTCTAAATGTCTTGTGAATATTTGGAATTTTAAACAAACTTAATGGGCCCGTTCGCTAAAACTTGTAGTGGTTAATCATGCCAACAAAACAATAATACTGCTGGCGCTGCTTCTTTTTTCGCCAAGGTCCCGAGAGTCATCAGTGATTTTTAAAGATGGTAGACTTTTTAAATTTTCTCCAAAAAGGAAAAACCCGGAAAAACCTACCTACAGAACCTTAAAATCTTCTGAACATATCTCAAGCGCATTTTTAATTTATATTTGATAATCTCAAAGTACTTTCGTCAACTCAACTCATTACCAGGGAATCTTAAAAGTTTTTGAACTGCGGTCGAAAACCAATGCTTTAATGCCTTTTTTCGACACGCTGATAACTCGGGCGCCGATAAGGTTGGTAATGATTGTGCTTTGCTGGACAGATTAGCCACTGGTGTGTAAGTGGCTGACAGAGTGAGTGAGTCTTGGGACGAAAATACTCGCGCGAGATGACCCAAATGCCAAGACGGTGTTCTTCAAAATCCAGCGCTGTGTTTCTAGAACCGGCTCAAAAAATAAAGAATGGATTTTTTTGCCCTTGCCAGAGTGACAATTATAGCTCTCTCTGACAAACGAGAGTTTATTTGCATTGCTTATTTTGGGACCTTCAATTTTAATTTTGAACTTGAAATTTTTACTATTCAAAAGCTTCGAAGCAGAGTAATGGAAAATTTTCTCGGTTGTCAATTAAAATGGTAACTTAGGATAAGCTCAAAGGGTTGTTTTATTTTTAGGGTGTGCGGCGCAGAAACTCGCGTTTGGCTCAGTTTTCCAGCTGCCATCCATTAAATTGTCCCGCTCACTCTTGGCACCTCACAGAGAGTGGTTTGTCCTGAGCGAGCAGAGAGAATGGAATTTATATGCGCAGTTCGCGGAACTAAAAAATTAGACTTTAATGAAAAAACTTTTAAACTTTCAAGCTAAAAATTAAATTAATTTCCAATTTTTTTTAATGGGTTACTAAAGATAGGTAAAATTAAATTATTTATTTTTCTAATCCATAAAAGAGTAACTCGTCCCTGTGAAAATTATTTAATTTTTTAATAATTGCCAATTTTCGTGTTTGCAGTGCAAGGCGTAGTGTACCAGCAGTCGACGCCCGTTGCCTTCGCACCGACGCCGACCCCTGCCTATGCCCCGACCCCCACCCTCGCCCCGACACCGACATTCGCCCCAACGCCCACTTTCGGCCGCCCGGGGGATGCCACGCCACCCGTCTTCGAACAGATTTTCCGCAATGCCAGATTTGCACAGGATGGCAATGCGACCTTCGAAGGACGCGTGCGCGGCAACCCCACGCCGACCGTCGCGTGGACAAAGCAGGGTGTTGCCATTCACGGTTTGTATTTATTTCTATACTTCATTTGTATTTGTTCACTGCAAGCCAAAAAAATTTTAAAATTAAAATAAATTTAATTTTCATATAATTTTTATACCACTAAATTTTTGTGTCATTATAATGCTAAGGTTTTTAATTTAATTTGATCGATCCTTTTGAAATTTCATTTTCAAATTTGTCCAGCAAAATTTTTTATAATATTGGGGGGAAAAAATATTTTTATTTCTTGATAAATTGATCAATTTTTCTAATGGTGAATGTGGAAAATCATTTTCCAGAGTCGGCCAAATACAAAATGCGTTATGACGAGGTTAAGGGAGACGTGTCGCTGGTGATCGTGCAGATTGGCCCTGGCGACGAGGGCGAGTACACATGCACGGCGACCAACCAGTACGGAGAGGCCATCTGCTCGATCCGCATTCAGCCCGAGGGCCAAGGATACCCCGGCATGCGGACGCTGCACCAGCAGCAGCAGCAACAACAACAGATTCAGCAGCAGCAGCAACAACTGCAGCAGCAAACTTCGACTGTGATCCAGGGCGGCTACCGCAAGGAATTTGCACAGACCTTCGAGTCGGCCCAGCAGGTGCGTTAAAATAAAATTAGAATTAAATTTGATCCTCAAGTTAATAATTAATAAATTTAATGAAAAAAAAAATTAAATAAAAACTCAGGAAAATGTGCTATCATATTTTTTAATTAAAAAAGTTTTCTTTACCATTTGATGAATCAAACAAATTTTAAATTAAAGATACTTTCAATTAATCAGTCAACTTCCTATTTCAATGCAATCTTATTTCGATTAAAATGAATATATTGTGGATTTTTGTGCAGGTGACTGGAACCCAAGAGACTTCATACCAGAAAAGCTCCTCGTTTGGCCGAACGTCGGTTACGAACGGCACCAACGGCCACGTCAGCACCGTGACAAGCTCGTCGATCGAGGAGGACTTCAAGGTGGACACTTTCGAGTACAGACTGCTGCGCGAGAAGGAGTACCGCCAATCGATCACGCGTCGAGAGGCTGGAGAGGCGGACGCCGAGGTGGCGCAGGGCGCCTCGCAGGGCCCCATTGCGCCCCCGCAGATCGCACAGAAGGCGCGCAACTCAAAGCTGCTGGAAGGCTCCGACGCCACCTTCTCAGTCAAAGTCTCCGCCAACCCTCCGCCAAGGGTAAGTCCGTCTAAAAAATTTGCATTTTTTTATATAAAAAATTTAATTGTCAAATATTTCATGCTAATGAAATAAATTGATGTGCAGCTTTCTTGGTTCAAAAACGGTGTGCGCATTCAACTGACCGACAAGTACGAGAGCACCTACTCCAACCAGTCGGCCACACTGAACATCAAGAAAGTCAAGGCAGACGACAGCGGACACTACACCCTTCTCGCCGAGAACCCCCAAGGCTGTGTTGTTTCATCTGCCTTTTTGGCAATCGAACCCACTGGGGCTTATGATGAGCACCTCAGAAGCCACATTGAAAGGTAAAAAAATAAAAAGTATTTTAAAATGAAAATCAAAGAAGAAAATTATACCCGGTAGATAAATGATAGATTTTACAATTTTATTAAAAAATAATAACAACTAAAAACAACTAAATTCAAGTAAAAATTTTTTTTTTTTTTTGTTAGTCTGCAATTAAAAATTTTCTAATAAAAACTTGCTTAAAATCTGTAAATTTTCTATTTTAGCACGCAGCAAATCCAGAGCCAGCAGATCACGCAGCAGGAAACGGCCGAGGAGAGCAGCAAGAGCCTGGCTCCCAACTTCCTGCGCGTCTGCACTGACCGCGAAGTGACCGAGGGCAAGATGACCCGCTTCGACTGCAGGGTCACCGGCAGACCATATCCTGAGGTCACGTGGTACTTGAACGGAAGACCAATCTGCGACGACACCACGCACAAGGTGCTGGTCAATGAGTCAGGCAACCACGCTCTCATGATCACCAACGTGCACCGCACCGATGCTGGAACCGTGAGAGAGAAAAATTAACGCTAGATCTGTTTTAATTGGAAGTAATTTCAGATCACTTGCGTTGCCCGCAACAAGTCGGGCGAGACCAGCTTTGAGTGCCAGCTGAACGTTGTGGAGAAGGAGCAGGTGGTGGCGCCCAAGTTTGTCGAGCGCTTCACCACCGTCACTGTCAAGCAGGGCGAGCCTGTTGTTTTAACCGCCCGTGCTGTTGGAACACCCATCCCACGCATTACTTGGCAGAAGGTGAATTATTTCAGGAATCGAATCATAATTTTATAAAGTATATTTTAAATTTTTTGCGTTTCGCAATTAGCCAGAATAAGCAATGTCAAAAAGTTCAAGACTAAAATTTTTGTTATTTATGGTTGGCAAATTTAATGTCAGAATTTTTGGCAAATAAACAAATAATTTAGAAATTTTTAGAAAATTCACAAAATTGCCTATTTTACAGGGATTCAAAGTTTGAAATTAAAAAAAAAAATTTGCAAGATTCATTCTCTGGCCAAAGTTGAAAAAAAAATGTCAATAGGGTCAATTGGGTCAAAATTTTTCGTTTAAAAGAAATTGATATTGTGCCGTATCATCTTGAATATGTTTTTGCATACAAAAATAATTCTTTTAATTATTTGGGTGTATCAGTTTTAAAAAAAAATTATTTTCTTATAAAAACAATTATTCTGATATGCGAGGAAAACTTTCTTACATTTAATTCTCTGATATTTTAGTTTTTCATTTTTTGGATATTGCATTTTTTTTACAAAACGTGGCATATTAAAATTTTGTTTCAAATTTCTGGCATTAAAATCTCCAATAAATTACCGTTGAATACATTTGTTTTTTTTCTTGTATTAAAAAGTCAAAATTTCACTTCATATTTCTAATTTTATTTTAGGATGGCGTTCCCGTCGCTTCTGGCCCAGAACTGATTATTTCCACTGAGGGCGGCGCGTCCACCCTCGACATAGGCTGTGCCAAAATCTCGGACGCTGCGTGGTATCAGTGCACCGCGCAGAACATCGCCGGCTCCACTGCCACGCGCGCCCGTCTCTTTGTCGAGACGCCCAAGGGCACCACTCCAGAGCCGAGGCGCCTCAACCTCCCTCGCCCCACGAGAATCATTGAGCCAGAGTAAGCGAATCTTAAGTTTAATTTTCCCTTGATTGATTAATTTTCAACAGGATTGCTCCTGGTCCTGAGGTGATCTTCCTCAAGCCAGTGGAGCGCGCAAAGCCGCACACTCCGCAGCCAGAGCCTGAAAAGCAATATCCCCCTCCCCAGTTTGTGGTGCCCTTGCAGGACATCGCCCAGTCCGAGGGAGGAAGAATCAAGTTTGAGGCTCGGGTTGAGCCCAACAACGACCCCACCCTCACTGTTGAGTGGTTCGTCAATGGACACCCTCTTCCTGCTAGTAAGTTTTCTCTTCTAAAATTTTTGTTACTTCATTCTCTGAAATTAAAATAAATTAAAAACTGTTTTTAGATTTGTAGAGTTTAGCGGAACTTATTTTTTGACATGGAAAACTTCAGCGATAATTTTTAAGCCCATAATACCAAGAGGATGAAAGTTATTCTCCCAAATCATATAATAATTATTGTTGTTTATTTGTCCACATTGTTGTTTACATTCAATTGTTAAACAATTTATTTAAAAACTCAATTGTTGGAGTTGGACAAAATGGCATCACCAAAAGCAAGAATTTTTGTAAAACTTCCTAGATAAAAAAGACCCCATCCGCCGCAGTGAGCCTATTAAGAGATTTTTTAGTTTTCTTATGTTTATTTTGAACAAATTATTATTGTTGTTAAGTGAGATAGAAAAGCTTGAGCCAGACGTTAAGCAAAAACATTTAAATAACAAATTTGATTATGGCGCAGTTTAAACCGAAGACAAGAATTGTTTGATTAGTTTGATGGAATAATTGTATGATTTAGTTGCAAATTGTGTTTATTGATCTATCACAAAGGCAATTGCTGCCCATAACGGGATACATCATTTATACATTCAAAATTATACAAGTTAATATAACTGATTTAAAGGGCTCATAATGTTGAATTTGACATTCATTATTATTGTTTAAAAATAATTTATCCCAAAATTTTCTAAAATTTGCAGGCTCTCGCGCAAACACTTCTTTCCGCTTCGGCTACATTTCGCTTGAGCTCATGTCCATCATCTACGAGGACAGCGGCGAGTACTTGTGCCGTGTGACCAGCGCCTCAGGCGTGGCCCAGTCGCAGGCTTTACTGTCAGTGAACGCCAGAGCCACCATCGAGCAGCAGAGCCAGTATCCGGACAGTCTGCAGTACATTCAGCAGCTTGAGGACTACTCAAAGTACCAGAGGACCGAGAGCATTGACGAGTCCGTCCACCAACGCCCCAACTTTGTCAAGCCCCTGCACGACCTGGGCGACATTGCTGAAGGTCGCAACGCGCACTTCGAGGCCCAGTTGACGCCCGTCAGCGACCCGACCATGCGTCTCGAGTGGTACAAGGACGGCCGGGCAATCACTGCCAGCTCCAGGATCACGACCATCTTCAACTTTGGCTACGTTTCGCTCAACATCATGCACCTGAGAACTGAGGACGCCGGCACTTACACCGTTCGCGCGTACAACGCCCTTGGAGAGGCCGTCAGCAGCTCTGCTTTGAGAATTATTTGTAAGTTTCCTCAATTTTCATGTTACTTTCCTTTTTTTAAAACACTTATTCAATTTATTATATTTTTTTTTAAGAAATATAAAATTTATTCTACAATAAATTTTTTTTGTAATTTAAAATTTTACACTTTATTTTATTAAAATTGATTTTGATTTGTATCTCTAGCCCGTGGAAGTGTGACCGCCGACCTGGGAATTCCTGAGCAGCAGCGTTACATTGAGAAGATCAGCGAACTCGAGGCCTACCAGCAGCAGCAGTACTCCAAGTACGCTGTTGAGGCCGAGGAGTCCGTGGACGCTCCCACCTTCAAAACTGGCATCAAGGAGCAGAAGAGCATCCGCGAGGGCGGATTTGCCCACTTTGAAGCTCGTCTTGAGCCAGTCGGCGACTCTTCAATGAGAGTCGAGTGGTACAAGGACGGAAAGCCTGTTGAAGCCAGTAAGTTTTATTTTATCTCTTGTTATATTTTTTACAAAATTTTATCTACATCTCTATTTATTTTTACCACGCTCATTAAAAAATCAGTTTTTGAATTAATTTTTTTCCCCTTAAACTTTTTTACAGGCTCAAGGATTACAAGCTTCTTCAACTTTGGCTATGTAGCCCTCACAATCAAATATGTGACCATCCATGACGTCGGCATTTACACGTGCCGCGCCGTCAACGCAGCCGGACAGGCTGAGACCAGCGCCCCATTGACCGTCATTAGCAAGAATGACGTTCAGTTTGAGACCCAACATCCTGACGGTCTTGAGAAAATTCAATATTTGGAAGATTCAAGGTAATTTCACCAAATTTATTTCCCAACGTGTTGCTAAATTAGGGATTTTTTACTCTAGCCGCTATGGCCGCACCACCCAGGAGGAGGTAATTGCCCTGCAGAAGCCGCGTTTCCTTGGCCAGCTCAAGGGCACCAACAAAATTGTTGAGGGTCAGCGTGCGCACTTTGAGGTGCGCATCGAGCCTCTGAACGACACCACCATGCAGGTTGAGTGGTACCACAACAACACGGTCATCATGAGTGCCAGCCGCGTGCAGACGTACCACGATTTTGGCTACGTTGCTCTGGACATCGTCGCCGTCCGCTCCGAGGACGCTGGCACTTACACGGTGGTTATTCGCAATGCTTTGGGAGAGGCGCACATGTCAACCACCATGGAAGTTGAAAGTGAGTGAATTCTTTTTTTTTTTGTAAAGTTCATTTCAAAATTTTTGGTATAATTTTTAAAAATTTATAATTTCATGTAGTCATTCCAAATGAAGTTTTACTTTAAGGTGTAATTTTATATTATTTTATAAATTGTAAATTGCTTACGTATAATTTTTAAAATCTAATTTTACGCTATTGGCGTTCAATAAACGCATACTTACATAAAATTAGTATCGTGGTATTAAAATTTTTTTTTGAAATAGGTGATTATAATTTAAAATTTTATTCCAAATTTATAATAAATAAAAAATTACATTATTTACAAAATTTATAATTTAATTTAATTTATATAAAAAAGTTATTAAAAATATACTCTATTTAACTTATTGATAACTTTAATAATTGCTTCTTAAAAAATATAAATTCTCTGAAATATTGATTTTTCAAGCAAATTTTTTCTTCCAAACAGAATTTTTTATTTAAATTTTTCCTTTTTTATTTAATTTTCCTTTTTCAGCTCGTTCCAGCATCGACACTTCCACTATGCACCGCATGACGGTTGAAAAGACGCGCCACCTGGAAGAATCAAAATTCCAGGAGCCGCAGTACAACATCGAGGAAGTTTCTCGCTCCAAGCCAATCTTCACCCAGCCACTGACTGACCCGAAGCCAGTTTCTGAGGGCAAGAATATCCATCTGGAGTGCAGACTGGAGCCCATGGGAGATCCCACAATGAGAGTCGAGTGGTACTTCAACGGAAAGGCCATCACAGTTGGTAAGCAACCAAAACTCTAAACATTATAAAATAAAGAAATTTGTTGTTTTATTCATTTCAATTTCTTATGCAAAATGTTTTTAGTCATGATTTTTACATGTAAAAATTTTTAAAATAAAAACAGGCTCAAGATTCAAGACTTATTACGACTTTGGATACATCGCTTTGGACATTGTCCACTGCACCACCTTCGACTCGGGCGAGTACACAGTGCGCGCCGTCAACAGTCTTGGTGAAGCACATACCTCTTCGTGCGTGAGGGTAAGTTCATGATTTTTAGTAAAAAAAAAATCGTAATAGAAACGAATTAAAAAAAAAATTATATTTATAATTTTTGCCATCTTTATTTTCATGAAAAGTGAAAAAAATCGCGTATAATAAAGTGGAAGTCTGGAAAATTAAAATTTGGGGGCAATAATTTGTAGATTGTGAGTCGCGAGGGTGTCGACAAAGATACTTTGAACGAAGCAGCTCTCCAGCAAATCTACCTGCTGGAAGACCACGCGGCTCGCAGCAACCAGTACTCGCACGGTTTGGAGGAGGTCCAGGTGCAGCAGGTGCCGCAGTTCACCAAGCCCCTGCACAATGTTGACCTGATCGAGGGCACCAACGTGCATCTCGAGTGTCGCCTTCAGCCCGTTAACGACCCCTCGATGAGAGTCGAGTGGTATGTCAACGGCAGGCCCATCAAGACTGGACACCGCTTCCGTCCGGCGCACGACTTTGATTATGTTGCGCTCGACCTTCTGAGCGTCTACCCTGAGGATTCTGGCGTGTACAGCTGCCAGGCGTACAACATGCTCGGTGAAGCGGTGACTTCATGCTCCGTTAAAGTTATTGGTAAGATTAATTTGAATAATTTAATTAAATTAATCAAAATCCCTTTTGCTAACTTTTAATAAAAATTTAATTTGTAATATTTTTTCTTCAGCCAAGAGGGATCTGATTTTGGACTCTCAGCACCAGACTGGTCTGGAAAAAATGCAGTACCTCGAGGACTCCTCTCGCTACCGCAAGCAAGAAGTGACTGAGGAACTGGTGAACGTCAAGCCTCGCTTTGTCACCAAGCCCAAGAGCTTTGATAACATGCGCGAAGGCCAGCACTGCCACTTTGAGTGCAAATTGGAGCCCGTCACTGACACCAATTTGAAAGTCGAATGGTACAAAAATGGAAGGCCAATCACAGTTGGTACGTTTGTTATAAAAAATTTTTAGAGAAAAATATAAAAATGTTAAATTTGATCAGGTCACCGCTTCAGACCCATCCATGACTTTGGCTATGTTGCCCTGGACATTATTGATTTGATTGCCGAGGATTCTGGCATTTACACTTGCCGTGCTGTAAACATGATGGGTGCTGACGAAACCAACTGCAACTTGAAAGTTACAAGTAAGGACCACGATAATCTATGAAAAATACAGCAACGAATTTAACTTTGTTTCTCAGGCTCGTCTCAAATTATCACCACCACGCAAAACCAGAGCAACATGGAGCAGCTGCAATATTTGGAGGACAGGTCGAACCGCTTCCGCAGCGAATACTACGAGGAGTCCACCACTCAGGCTCCAGTGTTTACCTCTTCGATCAAAAATATTGTCATCAAGGAGGGTCAACGAGCGCACTTTGAGTGCCGCCTGATTCCAGTTTCCGACCCAACAATGAAGGTCGAGTGGTTCCACAACAATGTTCCGCTGAAAACTGGATCCAGATTCACCGAGACCAACGCATTTGGCTTTGTTGCTCTTGACATCATGTACGCTTACCCTGAGGACTCTGGCACCTACACCTGCAGAGCGAGCAACGCAATGGGACAGGCCATCACATCAGCAACTCTTGGCGTGCAATGTAATTTTTTTGAAAACAAAACAAAAAACCCATTAAAATCTATGTTTTAATTTTTAGCCAAAAAGTCTATCTATCTGGAGACGCAGCACGAGTCTGCAATGACCAAGATAAATTATCTTGAGGGTTACAACAAGAGTGCGCCCACTCCTGCTCCGGACGAAAATGTGGCACAAGCGCCTGTTTTCACACAGCCTGTCCGAGATCTTAAGGTGGCTGAAAACCAAGCCGCCCACTTTGAGGCAAGGTTGATTCCCGTCGGTGACCCCAAACTTAAGGTTGAGTGGCTTAGGAACGGAGTTCCCATCCAAGCTTGTAAGTTTTTTTAAGACCAACTTAAATTATGAATTTTTAACTTGTTTTTGTCAGCTAATCGTGTCACCACAATGCACGACTTTGGATATGTGGCTCTCAACATGAAATATGTATATCCTGAGGACTCTGGAACTTACACTTGCAGAGCCGTGAATGATCTGGGGCAGGCGGTGACCTCATCACAGCTCATTTGCCTTTGTAAGAATAATATAGTGAAACTGAAATAAAAATAAAATTTTTGTTCTTTGAAAATTTCAGCTAAGGAATCGATCATCAGAGAGATTGAATCTCTGCAGTACGAAGAGGATTCGTCTCGCTTGACGAGAACTGAGGACATGGAAAAGATTGTGACTCAGGCTCCGAAGTTTGTCACAAAACTCAACGGGCCAACTCAGCTGAATGAGGGACAGAGTGCCCACTTTGAGTGCAGAATCGAGCCTTATCCCGATCCAAACCTGAAGGTTGAGTGGTACCACAATGGCCAGCCTCTGCAGACTGGCCACAGGTTCCGCACAACCTACGATTTTGGCTTCTCTGCACTTGACATTTTGACTGTTTATGCCGAGGATGAAGGCGAATATTTGTGCATTGCTACCAACCGCATTGGCAAGGCTAGCTCCAGCATTAAGATCACTGTGAAATGTAGGCGCCTATAAAAACTAATTAATAAATTTTTCCTGACAAATTTAAACAATTTCAGCCAAGGAGTCCATCAGCTACGAAACACAGCATGAAGGTGCTCTGCAGAAAATCCAGTACCTCGAGGGAGACAGACGCACCGCCAGAGAGGAGGAAGAAGGCGCTATTAACGAAAAGCCACAGTTTGGAAGACCACTGCGTAATTTGGACAATCTAACAGAGGGTCAGTGTGCCCATCTGGAAGCCACTCTCACTCCTGTCAATGATCCAACAATGAGAGTCGAGTGGTACTGCAATGGTCGTCCAATTCCTCAAGGTAAAATTATTAATTTTAAATTGAAAAAAAAAAACTAATTAAAAATTTAAAAATCACAGGTCATCGTTTCAAGACAACTTATGACTTTGGATTTGTTGCTCTTGACGTTCTGTACGCGTACCCTGAGGATTCTGGCACTTACATGTGCAAAGCTCGCAATGCCATTGGCGAAGCTATTACAACTTGCTCAATCAAGGTTAAACGTAAGTGGTTAAAAATTAATTTCTAAAATTTTCTAAATTTTTCATTTGCAACTAAATTGATTTTATTCCATTTCAAATATCAGCCGAAGCTGGTATTCAGCTCGAAACTCTGGATGAGGACAGGCTGAAGAAGATCAGAACTTTGGAAGCTTATGCACGTCCACTGAAGGAGGAAGTTGATGCTGTTCCTCAAAAGCCAGTGTTTGTCACTGCACTCAACAGGTTTAATATTTATGAAAATGACTTAACCCTATATTAATTTCTTCTATTATTATTATAGCTTGCAAAACGTCAAGGAGGGTGAGCACTCTCATCTGGAATGCCGTGTGGAGCCAATTAATGATCCTAACTTGCGCATCGAATGGTTCGTGAATGGAATTGCAATCAAGACTGGCCATCGCTTCCGCACAACCCATGATTTCGGTTACGTGGCTCTTGACATTCTGGACACTTATTCCGAAGACTCTGGAACCTACATGTGCAAGGCCACCAACAATCAAGGAGAGGCTGTTAACACTAGCTCAATCACATGTCTTGCACGTCGCAGCATCTACCTTGACTCTCAGCACCCTGAAGGTCTTGCGAAGATCCAGGCGCTTGAGGCCCAAGGCCACCAGGGTCGTTTGGAAGTGGACGAGCCTGAGGCAACTCCGCCAAGATTTGTCACCGAGCTGCATGTAAGTGATATTTCAAAGGTTTTTTTATTTTTATATACATTTGTCTGATTTTTAGGGAACAACGCAACTGGCCGAAGGTCAGACAGCTCATCTTGAGTGCCAAGTTGAGCCCATTCACGATCCTAATCTGAGAATTGAGATCTACCACAATGGAAAGCCCCTACCATCAGCCTCTCGCTTCCACATCACCTTCGACTTTGGCTACGTGGCCCTCGACATGACCCATCTTGTGCCTGAGGATAGTGGAGAGTACACTGTGAAGGCAGTCAATGCACTAGGACACTGCACAACAAAAATCAGCATTCAAGTTTCCGGTACAACACCCTAAAATTGAATAATTAAATTGGCATGATTTATTGTTATTTAATTTGATAACAGGAAAGAGTGGTGTCATTTTGGAGTCTGCAAGGCCAGAGGGTCTTGAAAAGATTAAGAGGTTAGAAGGCCAAGGTGCTTTCATAAGACCCGAGGTCTCTGAACCTGCAACAACTCAGCGCCCTGTGTTCACCGCTCCTCTGCAAAATATTGACCCTATCAACGAGGGTCAAACTGCTCACTTTGAGTGCCGGTTGATTCCAGTTAATGACCCAACAATGAAGGTTGAATGGTTCAGAAACGAGCAGCCCATTGAGACAGGTAATAAAAAAAATAACAAATTGTTTAAATATATCTTTATATATTCAAATTACGCGTAGGTTCCCGCATCACAAAGACGCATGACTTTGGATTCATTGCTCTCGACATCAACCACGTCCGCGATGATGACGTCGGCGTATACATGTGCCGCGCCACAAACGCATTGGGCGAGGCTGTTACCACTGCGTCCATGCGCATCAGAAGCCAGGCAGACATTCTGCTGGAAACGCAGCATCCAGAGGGCATGAGAAAAATTGCCCAGCTGGAAATGGGTCAGGAGCCAAGACCAGAGGAGGCTGACAAGGTCTTTGACAAGCCGATTTTCACTCAAGTCCTCACTGGACCTTCAGAGCTCTGGGAAGGACAAAATGCTCACTTTGAGTGCAGGGTTGTGCCCGTTGGAGATCCAAACCTCAAGTTTGAGTGGTTCGTCAACGGTGTTGAACTTAAGCTTGGTGAGTTTCTTTACAATATATTAAAACATATTTATATATACTTAATGGTAATGCTTTCTTAATTAGGTTCAAGATTCAAATCCACTCATGATTTTGGTTTTGTCAACCTGGACATCAGCGGCTGTGTGCCTGATGATTCTGGCTTGTACATGTGCAAGGCAAGGAATTTGGCTGGAGAAGCCGTCTCATCAAAAGCTTTCAAAGTCAAAGGTACTGACTGGATTAAGAATGTATTATTTGAAGATTAATATAATTACATTTATAAATAGTTAAGTCCTCGATCGACCAGGATCCACTACATCCCGATGCCTGGAAAAAGATTCAGCTCGCAGAGGCTGAGAAGAACAAAGTCCCAGAAATGTTTGTTGACACAACACCTAAGCAGGCACCCGTCTTTACCACCCATCTTTCTAACTTTGACAAAATCGTTGAGGGACAGCACGTTAAAATCGAAGCTCAAGTTGAGCCCCGTGCTGACCCCAACCTGCGAGTTGAGTGGTTCAAAAATGGAATTTCTCTCACAACTGGTGCAAGAATCAGGAGCACTTTCGACTTTGGACATGTTTCTTTGTCCATCAATGGTTCACGCGCAGACGATTCTGGAATTTACACCTGCAAAGCTGTCAATCTTCTTGGTGAAGCTGTTTCTACTTGCTCCGTCAAAGTTGAAGGTGGAATAATTTAATTTTTTTAACTTATTTTTTTATTTATCTAAAATTAATTATAGATCGTCACTGGCTATTGGGAGGCTCTCTGCGTCCCGATTCTCTACCAATCATTGAGGCTCTTGAAACACCAAAAGATGTCAAAATCGAGTCTCCGGAACCAGTGTTCGAATCTCCTGTCTTCATTACTCATCTGAACAATGTTGAACTGAAGGAAGGAGAGACCGCTCACTTCGAATGCAACGTCGAGCCTTCAAAGGACCCAACGATGAATGTTGAATGGTTTGTGAATGGCAAGCCCCTGCCCACTGGATCAAGATATAAGTCCACATACGACTTTGGATATGTTGGCCTTGATATCACAGGATGCTATCCTGAAGACGCTGGAATCTACAGCTGCAAGGCCACCAACAACAAAGGACACGCTGTCACAACTGGAAGCCTGCGTTGCACATGTATAATACGAATTTGTATTTGAAAGAGATAAATTGACATTTTTTATTTACAGCCAAAACTGACATTTATCTGGATACACAGCATCCGCAAGGACGTGCTGGTCTTGAAGCTGTGCAAGAAGCAGAAGAAGCATTGGCTAGCAGAAGCCAGAGGCAACCCTCTGAAGCTGAGCCTGAATATCCCAAGCCAGTATTTGTTGTTCCATTGGAACCGCAGTTTAATTTGGGAGAAGCAGAGCCACTGCACCTTGAGTGCCAGGTCGAACCCAAGAATGATCCAAATCTCAAAGTTGAATGGTTCTTCAATGGAAAAGCTTTGGACCATGGTAATATTAAAATATTTATTTAAATATTCACCGTTTTAGAGCATATAGAATAATAATTTTATATAAATTATGACTTTAAGCAGCAGCCAGAACAAAAAAGAAATGAAATTAAATATTTTAAATTAATGTTCTGAGATAGTTTTTTTTAATATTTTGGTTTTTATTTAAAAAATTAATAATTAATTTTATAAAATAATTTCTGCTGATAGAAAAAACAGGAGAAGACAATTTAAATAAATTTATATAAAAGTAATTAGGGAAGAAAATCAGTCAGCAGAAATAATCAAGGTTCAATGCAAAAAAAAAAACAATGTTAATTAATTATTATTTGTTTCAAATTTTAGGATCAAGATTCAAAATTACAACCGACTTTGGATTTGTCACTCTTGACCTGGTTGAGGTCTATGAGCGTGATCAAGGCATTTACACATGCAAGGCAGTCAACAAGCAGGGAGAAGCTTTCACATCGACCACTATCTACTGCACTGGTATTTTAGAAATAAATTTTTGTTTAACTTAAAAAATGCAATATTTTTTATCAGGCAAAGAGGGTCTCATTGAGAAAACTCAGCATCCTAAGGGAGAGGAAGGTCTTGAAAAGATCAAGGAGCTTGAAGACTCTATGGGCAACGCGGGTGCACCATCTGCCGATTCCGATGAAGGCAAAGCGCCAGAATTCACTTCTCAGGTAGAAAATGAGAACTTAAGTTAATTCTAGATTTTAATCTATAATTTTACCACTTTCAGTTCCAAAATCTGTCCAACCTCAGTGAAGGTGAAATTGCTCACTTTGAAGCGTCGCTCACTCCCGTCGGTGACCAAACTATGGTCGTCGAATGGTTCTACAATGGCGAGGTTCTCAAGGCAAGCCACCGGGTGCGCACTGTTTACGCATTTGGAATGGTTGTGCTTGAAATTTTGGGAACCAAGATTGAAGATTCCGGAGAGTACACATGCAAAGCGACAAACAAATGGGGCAAGGCTGAAATCAGTCTCAATCTTGATTGCGTTGACAAGCTCAAGGGACAAAAGCCTCAGTTTACAAGCCAAATTCAGAGCATTGAGGGGCTCAAAGATGGAGATTCCGCTCACTTTGAGTGCACTCTTATTCCTGTTGGAGACCAGAACCTCAAGGTTGAATGGTTCCACAACGGACAGCCACTGCGCCATTCTTCCCGCATCAAGTCGGTATCCGACTTTGGATTTGTCGTATTGGACATTGCCTATGTTCAGAGCCAAGATTCTGGAGAGTACGTTTGCAAGGCGACAAACAAGTATGGAGAGGACACCACCAAGGCATTCATTAAGTGCGCTGGCAAGGGAGGAGTGTATCTCGAATCGCTGCAGCCAGAATCTTTGGCTCGCATCAGAGAACTGGAAGCTCAAGGCAAAGCAGCCCCGAATCTTACCTCCCCTTCGGCTGAGCCTCCCAAGTTCACCAAACACATCACCAACGTTGAAACCCTCAGCGAGGGCCAGAGTGCCCACTTTGAGGCAAGGTTGACTCCTGTAGCCGATCCTACTCTTACTGTTGAGTGGTACTTCAACGGCAAGAAGTTGCCCACTGGACACCGCTACAGGACCTTCCACGACTTTGGCATTGTCATTCTGGATATTTTGTACTGCTACGAGGAGAATTCTGGCGAGTACGAGTGCCGTGCAGTCAACAAAGTTGGGTCTGATGTGACAAAGGCAACGCTGAAGTGCAAGTCTAAGGCAAATCTCATTCTCGACTCTCAACTGCCTCAGGTATATTGTAAAAACTTTTTAATTTATTTAAAACATATTTCATTTTTTAAATGTGAAATTTTAATGATTTTCAGGGCATGGAGGGAGGTTTGCAAAAGATTCAAAATCTTGAGGACTCTGCGTTTAGATCAAGAGACGAACGAGGCACTGACCACACGGGCAAGGCACCTGTATTCACAGTTCCTCTTGCAAACATCGACAATCTTAGAGAAGGAGAGAGTTCCCACTTTGAGGCAAAGCTCACTCCTACTGATGATCCTAAACTGACGGTGAGCTTCATTATATAATTATAGAGTATTCAAGTGTCAATTAGCAAAATGCTTCAATAAATTTTTTTTTCTATGCATATTTAAAAAAAAATCCTGTTTAAATTTCTATTCACTAATTTTATTGTTGGTTTTTGTTTCAGGTTGAATGGTTCTGGAATGGAAAGCCACTTAAAATTGGATCTAGATTCCGCACATTCTATGACTTTGGTTTTGTCATTTTGGAAATTTCACCAGTCTACCCTGAAGATACAGGAGAGTACTCTTGCAGAGCCACAAACGAATATGGCGAGGCAGTGACCTCAGCAATTATGAGAGTACAAGGAAAGCGAAGCATTATCTTTGAATCACAGCTGCCAAAGGGCATGGAGCGCACCATTGAGAAAATTGCTGAGCTTGAAGGTCTCAATGCTGACCAAAGACCATTGCCCACCGATGACGACACTGGAAAGCCCCCTGAGTTTGTCACCAATCCAAGTGACCTTATTCTCGCTGAGAACTCTCTGGCTCACTTCGAGTGCCGCCTCACTCCAGTCAACGATCCCAGCATGCGAGTGGATTGGTTCCACAACGGAAAGGCTTTGTGGGCCGGCTCAAGGATCAAAACCATCAACGACTTTGGATTTGTCATTCTTGAGGTTGCCGGCGTTTACCAGAGAGACTCAGGATTGTACACATGCAAGGCCACAAACAGGCACGGAGAGGCAAGTGTCAGCTGCAAGCTGCAGGTCAGAGGTCGCCAGGGCATCGTTCTGGAACCTCAGCTGCCTTCGAGATTCCAGTCTGGAACAGAGAGCCTGCTGAAATTGGAAGAAACTTTGCACAAACGGGATGAGATTATGCCTGAGGACGAGAAACCAGATCCACCAAGATTCACAGTTGAGCTCAAGGACGTGCTGAACGTGGCCGAGGGCGCCGCAGCCCACTTTGACTGCAGAGTTGAGCCAGTCGGTGACTCAACCATGAGGATCGATTGGTTCCTCAACGGACGTCCGTTCCCATTCGGATCTCGCGTGCACACCATCAACGACTTTGGCTATGTGGTGCTTGACCTTGACTGGACCTATCCTAGAGATTCTGGAGAGGTGCTCTGCAGAGCTGTTAACAAATGGGGATCTGCCACCACAAAGGCACAGCTCACTTGCAAAGGTAACATCTTTGACAGCTCGAATATTTTATTTAATATTCAATACAAAACAAATAAATTTTTTTAAATTTTACAGCCAAGAGAGGAATTGTCATGGAGACTCAATTGCCCGAAGGATTGGTGGGAGAAAAGTTGGCCGATCTTGAGAAGGGCAATTACAATCCCATCATCAAGGAGGATGTGCCTCTCACGCCACCCAAGTTTATTACACAGGTAAAATTTTCATATAGTAAAATGAAAAAGATTTCATATTAAAAAATGCTTTTAGATTGAGAGTGTCGGCATGACTGAAGGAGAACCGGTTCACTTTGAATGCCACGTTGAGCCGAAGTTTGACCCGAACCTCAAAATTGAGTGGTTCCACAATGGCAAGCTCCTGTCCTCAGGACATCGCTTCAGAACAACCTACGACTTTGGCTTTGTCTCCATGGACGTCCTCTACGCCTACTCTGAAGATTCTGGCGAGTACGTCTGCAAAGCCACAAACGAGCTTGGCTCCGACACCACGAAAGCTAAAGTTGTGTGCAAAAGTGAGACAAAAACAGTCAATTTAACTAAAAAATCATTAAAATAAAATCCATTTTTTAGAGCTTCCTTCCGTCCTGCTGCACAACCAGGTGCCTAGGGGCATGAAGAAGTCTGAGGCTTTGATGCAGATGGAAGCGACCATCAAAAAGTACACTTCTGAAGTCCATCTGACTGAGGATGATCTGTACGACGCAGACAAGAAACAGCCGCCTCGATTTGTCACTCAAATCAAGAGTCAGACCGAATTGGTTGAGATGGAGAGCACCAAGTTTGAGTGCCAGCTGGCCCCTGTTGGAGATCCTAACATGAAAGTGGAGTGGTTCTTCAACGGCAAGCCTTTGTCTCACAGTATGTATAAAAATTTTTAAGGGCGACTGCAGATTAAATTCATAATTTTACAGAAAATCGCTTCACTCCGATTTACGACTTTGGCTATGTGGCGATGAACTTTGGCTGGGTCTATCCAGAGGACAGCGGTGAATACCTGTGCCGAGCGACCAACTTGTACGGCATGGATGAGACCAAGGCCATTATCAAAACGGCCGGAAAGCCTGGCATTGTTTACGAATCTCAGCTGCCAAAGGGCATGAAGAGTATTGAGCGCATTAGAGAGATGGAGGCCGCCTGGCAAGTGTGAGTGTTGAAAATAAAATAAAGTTTAGTTTCAAATAATTAAATGTAATTATTTTGTTAGTGTGCCAGAAGAGCCTGACGAGGACGACAAGCCAAAGCAGGCGCCTGTGTTCGCTCTGAAACCAGACCCTGTAATGGTTGAGGAAGGCAGAATCGCCAGATTCACTTGCCGCGTCCTTGGTCATCCCAAGCCACGAGTGATGTGGCTGGTCAACGGACACACTGTTCTTAATGTAATTAAGAGTAATTTTGAACGAATAAATTCTAATTTGAACTCTGGAAACTAGGGTACTCGTTACAAGCTGAACTTTGACGGCATGTACCACATGGACATCCCGAAGGCGCGCCAGTACGACACTGGCAAGGTAGAGGTGATTGCCCGCAACTCATCCGGCGAGGCTTATGCCACAGTCGAGTTGACTGTTAACGCGCGTTACGACGACTTCCGCAGCGTGCTGAAGAATTCACCAAGGCGTGAGTTTGACTTGCATAAACATTTTCATTTTTTAGGCGCAATTTCCATCTTTCAAATTAATTCCAGCTTTCTAAGGAGTTTTTTTCCACGACTCACTTTATAACTATGATGATATATAAATACGTTTTCAGTGATTTTGAAACTTAAACTTTTAAACATGAACTCAAATGCGTATAAACAAGAGTAAACATAAACACGTGTACTATACTTTAAAGTCCCATTACTAACAAAACCTGACCAAATAAAACAAATAAAAACAAAACCCCGCTCTCTCTCCCACAACTGCTTTATCTTTCATGCCAGCGGACAAAGTTTTTCAACTACATGCTTTTTAAGGAACGTTCCAAGTAAGGTATGGGATTTTATGTCTATGTGTAAGCATGTATACCACTCGATATATTTTTACTCCATGCGAACATTTTTTGTTGTCGCATTGATTTTTGTCACTTTTTTGTTTCACTTCTCTCTTCTCTCTGCTACTAATGCCCTTTAAAATAGATATGTAAATGTATCATATCTGTAAAAAAAGTTTTAACCTAAATAATAGGTAAAGAGTGCTTTTGAGCAGTTTCGATCCTGTTCACAATAGCTTTTAGTGGAAAAATGCTTGATGAGAAATATTGTGGCGCATATTTGTATTTGGCGTTTTGCTAGTGAGCCAATTACGATGATTTACCTCCCAACAAGCAAATATTGCGGGGGCCGAAGAAAATAAGTCAAAAAATTAGAAAAAAATATTGATTTTATAAAAAAATTTTAGAAAGAAAATTTTAAATGAAAATTCTTCGCCCCCACAAATTCTTCGAGTACCTTTTCTATTTTTTCTCAAATGTTGATCTCGTTAATTCCAACCCTGACCCAAAATCAATTTAAGTCCAGGCCTGATGTCCCTGAACCAAACTTCCAGTTTTACCTTTTTGTATTAAGGTGTTGTTTCTTGTTGCATTTGTAGCATGGTATGACTATGAGTTAACTCAGTACCAAAAGGAGAGACAGGAAACGGAACTTGAGAAAGTTTATCAAGAACGTAGCACCACCGAAGGCCACCCTGATGTTGGAAGCCTTGTTAAAAAGAAGGTTGTTAAAGAGCCCGAAACAGAATGGCAACAAAGTGTCAAGAAGAAGAAGGGCGATGATTATTACAAAAGTTTGAAGGAGGTAAATAAAAATCTATACAAATAAACTTTTGCTCAAAACAAATACAAATCTTTAGTTGGAAGAGGAACAGCTGATGAAAGAAGCTAAAATTCGAGAGCAGTCGCACCAGTTTGCCATTCCGGGCGAAAAAGTGAAGCAAAGCTCAATTGCTAGAGGAATGGCGGAGAGCTACGAACAGAAACTGTATGTAAATAAAAATTAACAAAATAATTTCTCTAACCAAGTGAATTGAACGCAGGGAGCAAACTGACCAGGTACCGCCATCACCGAGGGTGCTGCGAAAAACAGCGGAGCAATCCCAGGTGTCTGAGAATGGTGTTGTAGAACATGCCACGGTGGAGAAGCAGGCGCTCCAGGCAATGCCATCTGAATCGAGTGTCCACGGCAAAGAGGTGCACACAGCAACACAAAAACAGACCCAGAAAGAGGCAAGGCTTTTTTTAATTATAACTATTATTAGAAATAACTTAAAATTCAGTTAAATAAAAAAATGCGTAAAATAAATTGTTTCAAGGAGCACAGATGGTTAAGTTTGAGACTCAAAATTTTTAATAACCCTTTTAATATATTTTTAGGTCCAAGGTGATCTGGAGATTACGAGAAAGATAACCGCCACCGAAACCACTGAAGTGGAGCACAAGGCTCGCACCTTGGAGCGTGTTGTGACTGGAGCAGTGGTTAGTAAAGAATTAGGCTAAAAATATTAGAGCTTCAATTTTATGCAAAAACAGAAACCGGCCCAGCCTCCACGCTTCACCAAGAAAATCCAACCTTGTCGCGCATTTGAGCAGCAATCGGCGCGGTTTGAGGTGGAGTTTGATGGCGACCCAATGCCAACCATCAAGTGGTTCCGAGAAGATTTCCAGATTCAGCCGTCCAACGACTTCCAAATTCACACCTTTGGTACCAAGTCGATTTTGATCATCAGACAGGTGCGTTATTATATTTAAATTATTATTATTTATAATTGAAATCACAAATATGTTTCAGGTGTTTATGGAGGACAGTGGTATTTTTGCCGTGATTGCTGAAAATAGGGGAGGCGCCGCCAAGTGCAGCGCAAACCTGGTCGTGGAAGAGAAGAGGACTGGCAGGGGTGGAGGTCTGGTGCCTCCTGCCTTCCTCAGCACTATCCAGGAAGTGAACGTGCCTGCTGGGCAGTTAGCCAGATTCGACGCCAAACTCTCTGGCACGCAGCCCCTAGACGTCTACTGGCTCAAGGTATATTTTTAAAACAATCACTCTAATTGCCTGCAATTGTTGTCAAAACTAATTACACCACTTTTAAGAGGCAGGTTAACTAAAAAGTTCCGACTCAACTGTATTTATTTTGTAAAACCCACTCAGACTATTCAGACTTTGAGAAATAATGTTTTAAAATTTTAGAAAAACTAATAATTTATTACAAAACAAACTTGAAACTAAGATAGGTAATTTTGAATTATTAAATTTGAAAAAAAAAACATTTTAATCGATGTTGTGATGCATAAAAAGATGGTTGTGCAAGTTTCATGACTTTTTGATTTAAAAAAAAAAATAATTAAGTTTAATTTATGTTGATTGTCTTTTCTCCAGAATGGAAAGAAAATTGTGACGGATATTCGCCGAAAGACTCTTGAGGAGGAAGGCACATACACTTTGCTCATCATCGAGGCCCTTCCGGACGACGTTGGCACTTACGAGTGTGTGGCCATCAACTCGGTGGGCGAAGCTCGGTGCGAAGCTGAGTTGCAAGTTCAAGAGCAGGTCGTGACCTCACCAACGCCGGCTGCCACAGGCGACGAGCAGACCAAACTGGTGATTGTTGAAGACCTCAAAGACCAGGTGGTCAATGAGGGTCAGAGCGTCCATTTCAAGTGCAAGGTCACCGGTAGCCCAGGTAAAAAATTAATAAAATTTAAATGACAGCTAGGACTAATAAAAAAAAATTCAGCACCAACCGTCCAATGGCTCAAGGGCGAGAAACCGATCAAACCGTCCAAATATTTCAAGATGCTGCAGGAACATGACACTTTCACCCTTCACATTACGGAGGCTTTCCCCGAAGACGAGGGGCCTTACAGCTGTGTGCTCACAAATAAAATAGGAAACGTCACTTCTAAAGCAACTCTGAAAGTGCTAGGTATTTAATTTTGAATAAGTTTGAAATTTGTGTAAATATTTATCTTTCTTTGTTATTTTAGCGCCTGATTCTGAAGACGTAGCCCCAACTGTGACAAGACTGTCTGACGTGACCGTGGTCGAAGGCAATCCGGCGCAGTTCCGAACTCAAATGACTGGAATTCCCACTCCAACCGTCCAGTGGTTAAGAGAAGGGGCTCTTATTCCGCAGTCGCCAGATTTCCAGGTAAATTTTAATTTTTTTTTCAAGATCAATCAAAATAAGGATGAAACATGCAGTCAAACTAATTTGGTCCTACCTTGTAGATAATTCACGAGGGAAACAACTGCGTGCTGCTGATCAAGTCAACGTTCGAAGAGGACTCAGGCATTTTCACGTGCCGAGTGACAAATTCAGCAGGTCAAGTTGAGACCTCTGCTCGCCTCACTGTGAAAAGTAAGGAATAAATCAGTTGAATGCTTGCTTCCAAACCACCTTAGGAAATATCCAGTAAAAGCATCCACCCAGTTTTAAAGCAAGCTTTGAAAATGATTTTAAAAACAACAAAAAAACTGCTACAGAAAAAAGTATATAAGATTTCTCTGAAATGTAAAACTTGTTGAGAGACGAATCTTCAAAGTTATTTATTTTATCGTGTTTGTCTGTTGTGCTTACATGTTCTCAATTTTAGTTTCATAGCGACGCTCGAGCCAATATAAGACAAAGCGTGGTTTTTCAAGGAAACACACATAGTTTTGTTCCTCCTGTGCAAACAAAGACCACGCAGTCTCTTATTTTGGTGACGGTAGAGTTGTTTTCTATACTAACACAAAAACACAAACACAATATTTTAAAAGTGAAACTTTTAAGCTTTTGGGCCAATTTATTTTTAGTTTTTTTTTTAAACGATTTTGTGGTAATATGTTTCTAGTCAAAATATCGTAAACTTTGCATAAATATTTTCCCAGTTTTTCTAATTCGATGAACGACTTGAAAAAAAATGTTTCCTTTTTTACCTAATTTTGTTAAATTTAATTGGTTGGTGGCGGTTATTTTAAAGTGCCATAATATTTTTACTTTTTTTAAACAAATGTGACTCATTTTTCCAATTTGTTGAAATACACGTGAATATTTTGCAAAACACAACCATTTTGAGTTTTTATGATTTTTTTTAACAATCACTCACAAACAAAACGCTCACGCCGAATAACGACAGATACTAGAACAGAATATTAATCGTTATGGTATATATATATTTGTGAAATTCAATCTATATGTCTAAAAAATAAAATCAGAAAGAAAAGATGTAAAATTTTTCTGCAGACAAAAGTCAAACCCATGTGTGCGATCGACAGAGGGAAAGAGGATGAATCTCCCACTGATTGTAAACTTGGCCGTGCCAAAATAGATCATTTGCACGGACTGAGTGGGTGTGGAGAGGAAGAAGTGATTTTGAAAGAAAGAGTTAAAAATGGCCAGTGGGAGCGGCGCGAGGCGCAGCCAGAACACCTTTGCCCACCGCTTTGGGCTAAATATGGACGCACCCGTTCGTTCATTCCCCTATCCCGCGCATCCCCCGACCCACTAAACTGCTCTGCTCGGCGTCTATCTCGCGATTATTTTGCTCTCGCATAACATTAACCAGAATTTATCAAACACAAACTTGAGCGGCTGACACATTTGGCTGCCCTCAATTGCTGTGATGAACGATGAAATCGAGTTTATGTCTAAACAGTTGCG